CGCATCACAGCCTACTGCGCAATTTAAAAGCCATTCTCTGGGCTCTGCGATTTCCCAGAGCCTAGAGATTTACCAGATAAAAAAAACATGGCGTAACGCAAGTCACTTCGCAGCCGCGCATCACAGCCTACTGCGCAATTTAAAACCCATTTAAAACCTTTTAGCAGATTTCAAATGCATATTTGCACATATTAGATGTAATGCAAGTTTTTAAAACAAATTCTAATTAGGTAATATGCGTGCAACAGATTTACAAGTACCAGTTTTTCTAACAACAAACTCTATCAAATCAAAAATTGAACTTAAATTTATGATTGAAAAGTTTTCTACTAGGAAACTGTTTCATTTTGAAAAGATAACTGATAAAAATAGATCAAATATAGAAAAATGAATGAAGTTATTGCTTTTTTTACCAAACGATTTACATATTATTGAAAAACCAGTTAGCAAACAAAAGGCTTTCCTTTGAAGATTATGAAATCGGGAGAGAGGTGTGAAATGGAAATGAAAGGCAAAGGGAACAGCTGGCAGATATGGCTCATTAAGTAATACAATATGCGAAATGAAGGAGGGAATGAAGAGAGTCTACTCATAAATAGCGGGGAGAGTCGATTACTAAGAGATTGACCTCTGCAAAAGTCCCTTTACCTCAAAAGATTATCGCCTCGGATATCGGAATCCGATTTCAGTGTGCAAAGAGATTTTGACCTTGATTTTAGAGAATTTCAAACTAAAATTTGAGCGTTTAAAAACGCTTGCTTGTTTTAAAGTTTCTTTAAAACTTTTGCTATTTTTTCTTCAAGATAATACTTTGATTTTTCAAGAGAAAATTCTCAAGACTAGTTGCGACTCAAGACTAGTTGCGACTCAAGACTAGTTGCGACTCAAGACTAGTTGCGACTCAAGACTAGTTGCGACTCAAGACTAGTTGCGACTCAAGACTAGTTGCGACTCAAGACTAGTTGCGACTCAAGACTAGTTGCGACTCAAGACTAGTTGCGACTCAAGACTAGTTGCGACTCAAGACTAGTTGCGACTCAAGACTAGTTGCGACTCAAGACTAGTTGCGACTCAAGACTAGTTGCGACTCAAGACTAGTTGCGACTCAAGACTAGTTGCGACTCAAGCCTCAAGTTCTCAAGCCTCAAGTTCTCAAGCCTCAAGTTCTCAAGCCTCAAGTTCTCAAGCCTCAAGTTCTCAAGCCTCAAGTTCTCAAGCCTCAAGTTCTCAAGCCTCAAGTTCTCAAGCCTCAAGTTCTCAAGCCTCAAGTTCTCAGCCTCAAGTTCTCAAGCCTCAAGTTCTCAAGCCTCAAGTTCTCAAGCCTCAAGTTCTCAAGCCTCAAGTTCTCAAGCCTCAGTTCTCAAGCCTCAAGTTCTCAAGCCTCAAGTTCTCAGCCTCAAGTTCTCAAGCCTCAAGTTCTCAAGCCTCAAGTTCTCAAGCCTCAAGTTCTCAAGCCTCAAGTTCTCAAGCCTCAAGTTCTCAAGCCTCAAGTTCTCAAGCCTCAAGTTCTCAAGCCTCAAGTTCTCAAGACTTTTACTGAAAATGGAGCCTAGTATAACACTTGCAGCTGTTATGTAAAAGCTTTGCAAATCCATCACACAGAACAAATCTAAATTTATACACTTTTTTAGGGTTCTAAAAACTTGGGAAATGTGCTTAAAAGAAAATCCCGTATTTCATGTAATTCCTGTATCCTGTACAAATCACAGGAATTTACAGGAATTAACATCAATATGTTTGAATATATTCATGTAAATTATGGATACTTATTGGTTATACCCACCGAATATTTTTTTCATCATAAAGAGTCCAATAGTCTCAAAACCTTTAAATTATCTGTAGATGATCTTGATCTTGAAGCTCTAGTGGATCCTTGACGTTATCTGTGCTACCTACATTTTACATATATTATATCGTGTTTCTTTTTATCGGCCCTTTTCGTGTTATGTGTATGAATTGATGTGTTTTAATCTTAAATCTAGCGCACTTTATCTCAGGTCCTGAATAAAGTATCTATATACAGGGTGCGGCAGAATTATAGGTGCAGAGAAGTTCCATTGGAATATGACCAAAAAACGAAAAATTTGCCACAAAAACAGTTTTAACATATTTATTGAACTTAAATTAACAACTTTTATTGATCATATTCGAATCTTCCTCCTTTGGCGTCGATGCAAGACTTGAGTCGCTTGGGAAAGGCGTCGACCGTGGCGACCAAGTAGGCGGCGTCCAGACCCTCCCAGGCTTTCAAGAGAGATTTCTTCAAACTTTCGAGGTTTTTGTGAGGTTTCTGACAGGCCTCGGCTTCAAGAACAGACCAGACCGAGAAATCCAATGGATTGAGGTCTGGGGAGCTTGGGGGCCACTCGTTGAATGCAATGAAGTCGGGAAAAGTCGCTTTGCAGAAATCCTGAACAATCTTGGCTTTGTGAGCGGGAGCACCATCTTGCTGGAAGGTCCAGATGCGATTTTGGAAGTGATTTTGAGCCCAGGGAACAAGTTCTTTCTTTAGCATATCCAAGTACGTGTTCGCATTAACTTTGACTCCTTGTGGCACAAAAATCAGTGGTGTCTTGCCGGAAGCCGTCACACCGCCAAAAACCATGACTGAAGCTGGGTGGCCGCTGCGACCGACGGTAACATTTGGTTGAGTTTTCGACCAAACTCGATCTTTCTGCTTGTTCAGAATTCCTTCAATCGTAAAAATTTTCTCATCGGTGAACAAAATGTTCCTGTGGTCGATTCCGTTGAAACGAAGACGAAGGCTTTCACATCGATCTTTTCTCTTCTTTTCTCTGTATATATATATATATATATAAATATGTCAACTTGAGTACACTTTTTGTTTTTGCTTCGAAACAATGATGAGCATATATGGAAATTTCAAAATAACAAACGAAATTAGCATATTCTGGATTCGAGATACAAAGATTCGAGATTCGAGATACGAGATACAAAATGTTTACCTGAATCTAATATGAAAACCATTATTAAAGCCTTTTCAAAACTTTTCTTTTAAGCATAACCTTTTCAATGATTAGGTAAAGAAGTAAAAGAAATATTGAATTGAAAATTGAAACTAGGTCACTCAACTTACACTTTACTTAGATATCGAATAGCATTGTGTTGAAATGAGAAGTGTTAGCGATAGGTAAACAAATGAAAGTCTACAACTATTTGAAAATAAGTAAAGAGAATAATAGTCATGAGGTTAAAGCTAGCTAAAGTCAGCTTTGAAAATTTGAATCTCGATAAAATCTAGATAAAAATATTGCTTTTGATTATAAAGGTAAGATCATAAAGGTGAAAATTGTCTATCTAACCATAAAACGAGTTCCTAATTGTTTATAGGTAAGAAAAGCTGATTGGAGACATTAAGATGAAGTCAATTGCTTTCATCGTCAAGTCGACAAGGCGTAATGATTGAATAAAGGGGCCAGCTGTGTTCCCCTCGATTCTCGAATGTATTTGTGTTCATTGAGCATCTCGATTCCCTCTTGAGGCTTTTCCATTTGCGGCCTTTTCTTTCTTTATTCAATGGGGTTATGAAGGGGAAAAGGCTGAATTATAGGGATTAGCCAGCTCAATGACTATTCAAATCTTCAGCATCGTGCGAAGAAAAGTTGTATGATACGTTTGAACAATTCATAGCTTTGATTTCTTTGATTTACTGATTTCAGATTATTGATCTTGAAGTGATCTGGATTAAATCGTTGATTTCTTGATTAATCCTAGTTTTAGAAAACGGTTTTTAGTCAGATCAGGCAAGATTAAAAGCTAAGCTATAAAACCTGGTTTTGATCTTGTGAACCACATAAGAGACTCAATAAAATGAACAGCTTCAATCGAATCCTCGACCTTGAAAACCCCTGAGTCCAAATTTACAGTTAAATAGCCTCTTTTTAGATAATCTACAAAGCAAAAGATGGTAGAAAAAGACCTACCGTCAATACTGTAATAGTACCCCACCTTCATAATGAGGGTGCGGAGTGTTGCGTAGTCTAGCTTTGGACGAGTTTTTCTCGACACTGGTTTTGTTACAATGCGCTTAGGTATCAAAAATAGCCCTGTTTCGCTTTTTTTGTACCAAGACGCTTTCTTGAAAGTATGGGCGCTTTGAAAAAAATGAAAGACTAAAAAACTTTTGCGACTACGCGACTGTACGAGGGCGGTGGGGTACTATTACAGTATTTAGGGTATGCGTTCTTTGCTACGTATGGTAATGAGGAGAAACTCTCTCTTTCTGGCAAAGCTACCTTGCCTAAGAGCCGAAAGGCGACCTCCGAAAATTAGAAATTAAGATGAAAACTGAAATAAAGACTAAAAACCGAGTTATACCCATACATTTGAGTTATACCCATACTCCCGACGTATGGGTTTAACCCAGAGGTATACCCATACATCTGGGGTTATACCCATACCTCTGGGGTTATACCCATACCTCTGGGTCATACCCAATTATGTAAATCACTGGCGTGGTGTCCTTTGTGTGGTCGCGTAATCGCTTTCGATTTGGCAAACCCCTCCGGTATAGGGGTTTCCGGTTTTGATTGTGCTTTTACCAAAAACGACAATAGCCAATAATTCGTTTGAATTAAAGTTTATACGTGTTTTCTTTAGATTTTATATATAAATTGACATTTATTAACGTTTTCACTTTGTACAAAATGATATTTTGCAAGTATTGATAATGCTCAAAATCAGCAAGAAAGAGGTTTCAAAAAAGGCCCTGTTTTTCAAGTTTTTCTTTTGGTTATATCTTAGAAAATGGAATGAGTTTCAGTAAAGCAATCAAAGAAAAAAAATGAGGTTTTAAGGCTAGAAATGGGGAAGTTTTTTTTTTTGAAACGGCACTTTAATTTCACCGATAAAGAAAAGGCAAAGGGGGAAATGGAAATGGAAATGAGAACCCGTAAATTGAGTGTAATACAAAGAAATCGAGAAAGAATTGATAGAAATTTGAATATAAAGAGATTGGTAAGTGGATTCTGAAAAATCTAGGGATCCATGCTGAATTTCCGTTTCAACAGTAAGTAGTTCTCATCGCCGATCGGATTCTCGCGAGTGCCTGTGCCGTGACGAATCTGGAAATGATTAGATAATCGATTAGATAACACTTCCTTTCTTCTTCCCCTTGTCTTTCCCTCTTCCTCTTACCAAGTTAAGCTACCAGATAGCTCAGTGTTAAGCTACCAGATAGCTTAGAGCAATTGCCAAAAGCAAAAGATTCAATCCTCGGCAATTGTCAGGGTTCAATCCCCTCTCCGGAAATCTTTTTCTAGTCAATTCCTTCCCCTTTTTTGATAAAGACTAACTCTACAAGCATACAGTACGTACTGGCTACCTATTGGAACCATATTGGAACCATATTGGAACCATATTGGAACCGTATTGGATCCAAATAGGAACCGTATTGCCTGAAAATTATAGAAACTATGAAACTGTTGACCTAACAATGTAGGCCTAACAATAAAGTTACTGTAAACCAGAGTCAGTTATAGGCTAAAAGTAGCTGTCTATTGTATAAAAGTCCTCTGGTTACTGTAGGTTAAAATTATTTAGCTATTTATACTTATTATCTTGCAACTTTTCAAATTAAGAAAGATATTCAATCTTTAGGCACTCTAAGACAAAGAGCTGAAGCTTTTAAATCGTTGTAACTGGTAAATAAACTGTTCTTAGCTTTTGTAATGTTTTAAAGTCTCACATGATTCATGTATTTGCTAACAGCTTCTCGATGAACTGTCTCAATTGCATAAGTGACAGCCAAGATTGTGTCAAGAGTGGCGAAAAGACGTTGCCGAGTAACCGGATTTTCCTGAATTGAGAATTGTAGAGTTTAAAGACTTTTTGGGCAAACCTTTAAGTCAAAGATGTGTGGCAGAGAAGGTATGGACGATTGTGAGGTGGATGGGATTTCGAGTGCGTTTCTCCATTGAACGAGGGTGTCTGCGTGTTCAACGAGAAGTAAATGTACTTCTTCGAGCGCTCTTTCCACATCCGCGTTTCCCATCACGCACAACTCTTCACCCAACGAGGCACCTTTTGGGTCTCTTCGTAACCGTTGACGTTCGATTTCAGTGACCCTGAAAGGAAATTGGTAAAATAGTTATTATAATTTAAGGTTTATTTAATGAAAGTTTAAAAGATAACTTACAAGAGCCTAGCTCTTGCTAAATGAATTATAAGGATTAGCCAGCTATTGAGCTGGCTATTGAGCCAGCTATTGAGCAGACTATTCAAATCTTCTGGCATCGTGAGAAGAAAAGCTGTATGATACGTAGCTCTAGCTCTTACAATATCAGCTAAGTATTCACCATTCACCCCGAAATTCATCAAAGATCTTCAGCTCTTCACCCTAGCTATAATTATATTAATATTGTATTATAATTATCTTAGTAAAAATATTATAAGACTTGTGAAAATCAAAAATTTGAGTCAAGAACCCAGGTCGGGATTCGAACCCGCTAGAAAGCGTTCGATCAGCTTTGTATGCCTTCACACTATCCACTACACCACGACCGTCAAAAAACCCCTCTGGTAAACTCGACCCAAGAGTGTATCATCATCGAAAAACGAAAGTTCTGCTTTGAGTCTTTCTGCCACCAGAAAAAAAATTTGATGCCAGAGATCTTGCGTTTGCAAGCCATTCAACAGATTTTGATTACAGATTTGGATTCCCCGTTTGATTTTCTATAGAATGGGCTGGGTCTCGTTTTGAAATCTAATACTCTTCCCTAGTAATTAACTGATAAATCTGGCTCAACAATCCTAACCGGATCAGCACAGCAATGCTATTTCTTGCAATATTCTACAAATTATCTCTGAACTCACCAATCTTTCATCTCCATAGCCGACGCAGCTTCAAACCCGACTTGTTTCTCCGAAGTCCACACAGTGAAAGTTGCCCGTTCTCCCGGAAGAACCTTCTCAATGCTACTCAAACTCATCATCCCTTTTTGATCAAGTACACCTAAAAATTCAAAGTTTAATCTCTATAATCTTTATAAATCTTTATAATTTTTACCTCCTCTTCGACTTTTCTGCCAACAAAGCGACTCCTCTGTCAAGTAAACGAATCTCTTCTTCGGTTGTTGAATAAGACTCCATCGAGGCCCTGTTCGCGGTCGACTTTCAACCAAATATCTAAATCATCATTTTATAATAAGATTTCTATATGTAAATTTGTATTTTTTATATCTTTACCCCTCTTTGATTGCTGCTAAATTGTCAGTGATCGGTTGTGAGTCAGGGATTTGTAGAGCCACTCGATCCAAGAATAAAACCATCGCATTTTTGTGCTCTTCGTTTGTTACTTGCTTAAGAATTGGTTCAAGCCATGATTCCTAAAATACAAATTTTTAAATCTTAAAAGAAAATCAGAAAATTTACTTTAATAATCAAAGCGTGTGAAGCAACGCATTCGTTGGCCACTCGCTGAAGGACTTTTGAGAGAAGCACCAGTGTACGGGAAACTTTTGAATCCTAAAAACTTGAATCTTTTAAAAGAATTGGCAAATAAACGAGTTTATCAATTAAAAAGTAAGATATAGGTTAAAAGTAGCTGTCTATTGGTTAAAAGTAGATGTCTATTGGTTAAAAGTAGCTGTCTATTGGTTAAAAGTAGCTGTCTATTGGTTAAAAGTAGCTGTCAACAAACAAACCGGTTGTTCGCGTTTTAATCCAAAAGATTTTGGGTTGAGGAGAGCGGCAGCGAAAAATCGCATGATCAGGAACGAGCTTTGAGCCAAACGTTCCGTTTTTTTCTCACTCGCTTCTTGGCTTACCTGGAAGATTAAAGAAATCAAATGATTAAAAGACTCAAAGCCAGGATTTAACCAGGATATAACCAGGATAACCATTCATGAACTAACCCTAGTTGCTTGCTTGCTTATTAAAAGACTTGCTCAATCTTATTAAACATTTGAGATTGACAATCCAACTTTGAGCTCAAATCACTTGGTGTTGAGCTGTTCAATTTAAACATTCTTAATATCATTAGATTTGCCAATTCTTTCTCTATCGATTGGTATTAAAAATTATTTAAATTGGACAGCCCAATACCAAGAAATTTGAGCTCAAAGTTGAATTGCCAATATCAAAAGTCTCAAAATCAAGTCAACTTGAAGGCTTATTGCTAGATTTTCTAATAGCCGTAACCAGTTCTGTTGTTCTGTTTTGCTTACCCAAATTAACGCTGAATAAAACAAACGTGGCAGCGATTTCTATTCAACAGCTAGATAAGAAGATATTTGAGCTTAAAGTTTGTCAAGGGGAAAGGGACAGCAAATCAAATGTCCCACAATCTACCTGAACCAGTTAGAAGCCAGGTTCAAGTCTAAGCTTAACCCTAAGCCAAGCCTCATCTAACTTCCAAAGCTATTAATATATGATTTCAGTAATTTACCGTTTTTCTCAAATCAGCGAAAATCGTTCTCAACGAAAGAGGACATCTCGGTGATGATTCGACGATTCTATCAAAGCACAAAGAGAAATAGCCAAGGAGAGTTTTCTGAAATCAAACTGAAATTTTCAATTCATCAAAAAGCTATTGTCTAATTCTTCTTGAAAATATTCAATTTTGAAGCCATTTTAAGGCAATTTAAGACAATTTAAGGCAATTTCCGATCTGTTTTTCATGTTTTCAAGTTTCCCTTTCCCTTTTTCTGACCTAACTTTCCTATAAAATCATTTCAAAACCTTTAAATCCTCAAATTTTCAATCCCAACAATTCCTGAAATTTTCAATTCATCAAAAAGCTATTGTAGGAGTCTAATTCTTCTTGAAAACATTTCAATTTTGAAGCCATTTTAAGGCAATTGAATGCATTTTAAGGCAATTTAAGGCAATTTCCGATCTGTTTTTCATGTTTTCAAGTTTCCCTTTCCCTTTTTTTTGACTTAACCTCCCTATAAACTCATTTCAAAGCCTCTAAAACCTCAAATTCTTTATCCCAACAATTCCGATTCTATCAAAAAGAAACTTTTTCTTTATATCTAATCTTAAAAACCAATCTCTGTGCGACTATTTTTGCAGAGGAAAATCACTTTTTTTTCTCATAACATATGACCGAACCTCAATCGGGGAAAAACCCCAATTCAATTGATCCAAACAAAATCGTTTTCCCTGATTCTCTGATTCTCTGATTCTCTTTTCCCTTCTCAATCTCTAATCACTTCCGGTTCTGTGCCGAATTCTCTTTTATAGTTTTTTTTCTTTTCTCTTTTTTCCAACGATCCCCGAAATCAAAAGGACCATCTTTTTCTTCTTCTTTTTCATTCTTGCTATCATAAATTTAAATGAGCATTTTTTTTTGAGAAAAAAACTAGAGAAAGATCAAAATCTTTGAAATCTGATTTAAAATGAAAGTGATTTTGTCTAATTTTTGTAAGCTTTAACAAAAATCACTGTGTTTTTCTCTAACGAATCTCCGTTTTGAATTCGCGATGGATCGATCTCACAACTCTTTCGCTCTGAGTAGATCTGGAATTTCAAATTTGAAAAATTTATAACTAATTTTGATTTAAAAACATAAATGATTGTCAAAGTGTATAAAAAAGAATTCGTTTTTAAATGGTTAAAGATAGAATTACCATTTTTCTCTCTTTAAACTTGATCGATTGGTATTTACCTTGTCAATGACGGGTTTTAGAGTAGTGTGGAGATATTGATGTCCATAGGTTTTCATCAATTCGAAAAGCATTCGACTGGCAAGGCTTTGGCTTCGGAAGAGGGTGTTGATGTCTCTAAAAAGCTCAGGATTACATAAACAAATTGCTGATTTGAGAAAGTGTACACCAGAAAAGAATGCAAAACGTAAAGAAAGCTTTTGGCCGTTTTGTGATTTATGAGACTCTATACATTCAATTTCAAGTACGAATTTTGGTTTAAAACCTCCTCACTCTTCACCACAAGAAAGCTTTTGGCCTTGTGTGACCTACGAGACTCTATACATTCAATTTCGAGTACGAATTTTGCTTTAAAACCTCCTCACTCTTCACCACAAGAAAGCTTTTGGCCGTTTTGTGACTTACGAGACTCTATACATTCAATTTCAAGTACGAATATTTTGCTTTAAAATCTCCTCACTCTTCACCATTTAAGTGACTTACTGGCATTTTGTGATCTCTTGTTGATACAAGATCTGCAACAATGTTCGAATGTCTCCACTGTGAGCAAAGATTTGCACAAGTGGTTTTCCCAATGCGCCAAGATCTAACTGAAAAGTATTTTCTGCTTTTTTTGTTCTTTTTTGTTCTTTTTTCTTCTTCTTTTAGCTTTAAATTGTCTAATAGAAAAGAAAATTCCGGAATTTCCTTTTTCAAACGAATTTTACGACCTATTAGAGCTCGGATGACTCTTTAAGAAGTGACGTGGCAGATTTAGACTTCAGTACTTCAGTATTTCAGTATTTTATGATTTTAAAAAGTTTTACAATATAATTATGAATAAATTTGGAATATTTACTAATAATCTTATGGCTAAAAGGGTTATAAATAGGAATTGAGGGATTTAAACCGGATAAACTCTAGATCTAGTACTCTAAATCGTTTTTATATCCGAATCCGAATCGTTTTCGTAATCGTTTTACAGCCGGATTCGTCCACAATCCCGTTTTGTGAACTTTTTTTGTTTTGTGTTTTGTTTTGTGAACTCACTTGTGGTAAATGTTCTAGAAGTGCTACTGTAGATGCTCGATATTCGTTTTTCGTTGATGCGAGAAGGGCATTCAATAGTGGTTGATAGGTTGTCAATGGGAGGACGTGATCGGCTGTGTAGGAGACCCACAGCTTCATTTCCCCCAATCCAGCTTGCTCTTTTCGAGCTGCCTAAAGATAAATTTTGATTTTAAGTCAACTAACATATGAATGCAACTTTGATTTGATAGCTTTAGATTATGAAAGTTGTAGAAAGTATTGTCAATTACCTAGAGTTAGACTCAGAAAAAGTTTTACATTGTGATGAATGATAAAGAATCAAAAGAAAGGAAAAAATGAAAAAAGGAAGGATAAGAAAAAAGGATAAAGAGAATATAGCTGACTTTCTATTGAATCAGAATATAGCTGACCTTCTTTTGGATCAGAATATAGCTGACCTTCTTTTGGATCAGAATATAGCTGACTTTCTACTGAATCAAAAGTATAGCTGACTTTCTATTGTATCAAAAGTATAGCTTACTTTCTATTAGATCATAAATATAGTTGACTTTCAATATTTCTAACTATAAGCAAAACATTTTGAAACTTTTAGATTATAAAAATAAAACTAAACTATAGAAAAAAGTCTACTAGATGTTTAGTTTGTGAACATTGAACAAATGAATAGAGAAAATGAATGAACGCATTGAATTAAACACCTTGGCAAACACCTTTTTCAATAAAATCGAAATTCGAGATCTTGTCCAAAGAACAGAACTTCATTCATTGAAATTTCAAATACAAAAACTTCAAAGAGAATTTTAAAGAAAAATCCAAGTTTAAGCCGGATATTAACAAAAAATGGGATAAAAGAAGAAAGCAAAGAAAGAAGAAAGCAAAGAAAGAAAGAAAGAAAGAAGAAAGCAAAGAAAGCAAAGAAAGAAAGAAAGAAAGAAAACATTGATAAGGTTTTTGAGGAAAAGAGCCGAGTCAACCGATGTGCATACAATGTGTGGGCTGTGGAAAAACTGCAAAGCTTTGAGTAAAGAAAGAAAAAGAGAAAAGAAGAGCTGATGACAAGAAAGATACATAAAATTTGAAGAGTTTCTCATCGAAAAGTTTGACGAAATGAAACGCTTTGTATTTTCAAAATAAACAACATCAGAACTCTGCAAAGTGGATTGATTTGAAGAAATTTCATAAAGATTTTAAATCAATAAATCTGATTGGCAATATAAATCAAAAAAGATTCAATAGCTTATTTATTGGACTTTAAATGTAAACTAGAGCTTACTTTGTTGTCAATTCAAAACGAATTCGAAAGCTGACTCATTTGAGAGTAAAACTCGAGAAAAGATGTTAAAAATTCAGTTTAAAGTTTTCCTTTTTTAACTCCAAAAAGCAAATTTAGCCATTAGATTCAGATAGTTAATTGTTTTTTTTAATTAAATGGTTTAAATCGAATCATTTTTTGAACCAACGCTAAGTTCATGAGATTCCCTTGTAATTTAGTTGCTGCCAGCTGCTTAGATTACTTAAAATAGTACGGTTACGGTAGTCTTTAGTCGTTAGTCGTAGTCGTTAGTCGGGGCTAAGTCAGGTTTTAAAGTGCTGATCGAGATTTGAAAAAGTTAGTAAGTCAGTAAGCAAGAGATTCCCTTGTAAGTTAGTTGGTGTCAGCCATCATTACCATGGCATTATTACTTAGATTACTTAAAATGGTAGAGAATACAGTAGCTAAGTAAGGTTTTAAAGTGATTGAGTTTCGAAAAGACAAAGTTAGTAAGTCCCAAAAGATTTAGAAGCTAGGATATTGGCAACTTTAAGATAGAGAAAAGGGATCAGATTGGTCGAAATCTTAGTTCAAATCTCATTCAAAACTCAGTAGATGTAGGACACTAGATATTTAGTTTAGACACTAGATTCAAATAGCTTTTTTTGTTCCAATCAAATGGTACCTAAATCATTTTTTGAACCAACGCTAAGTTCATGAGATTCCCTTGTAATTTAGTTGCTGCCAGCTGCTTAGATTACTTAAAATAGTACGGTTACGGTAGTCTTTAGTCGTTAGTCGTAGTCGTTAGTCGGGGGTAAGTCTGGTTTTAAAGTGCTGATCGAGATTTGAAAAAGCTAGTAAGTCACAAAAGATCTAGAAGCTAGGATCTAGAAGCTAGGATCTAGAAGCTAGGATCTAGAAACCAGGATCTAGAAACTAGGATCTAGAAGCTAGGATTTAGAAGCTAGGATCTAGAAGCTAGGATCTAGAAGCTAGGATCTAGAAGCTAGGATCTAGAAGCTAGGGAAACCAGGATCTAGAAACCAGGATCTAGAAACTAGGATCTAGAAGCTAGAATCTAGAAGCTAGGATCTAGAAGCTAGGATCTAGAAGCCAGGATCTAGAAACTAGGATCTAGAAGCTAGGATCTAGATCTAGAAGCTAGAATATATTGATAACTTCAAGACAGAAAAAAGGAATTAAGTTGCTCAGAATCTTTGTTTAAATCTCAATCAAAATCAGTAGATGTAATTGGTTTTACATTTAAAATAATTATCAAATCAGTTGTGAATGTAAATTCATGCCCTCTAGTTGTTGTAATATCAGCGAAATTTCAGAGCTCGGAAACCACAAAGCATTAGGCTCAGATTTCAATGTGTAGCCGCTTGCTTCTTCAGAAAGTAGAAGAAAAAGATCCCTTTTGACTTTGAAATGAATGAGAAATGGAGAAATGGGAGAAATGGAAAGAAAGAAGCCGATCCACACCCACACATCTCATCAAAAAAAAGGATCCAACATTTTCTCACCAAATATCACCTTTCATCCCTTCTTGACTATTTTGTTTTAAAAAATTGTTTATCTAAGTTTTTCTTATGTAAATTTCCGGTGGAAAGGTTAAACTTTTGAAAAATAAATCTTGCAGAAAATTTGGGAAGAAAAACAGGAAATATTTGGTATTTCTCTAGGCTTGAGACTTGTTTTTAAGAATTTCGAGTGAGTTGGCAACTTCTGAAACTAAGAAAAGTATGATATGGCTGTGCTTTGCTGTTCCCAAAAATCTATTACCTAATGGCATTTAGATTCATTTAGGCTAATTGATGAGATGATGGGGAATTCAAAAAGCAAGCAACTCTTGAAAAGCTTCGAAATTTGAGAGTAAAGATTTTTTTGAGTAAATGAGTCAGTTAGTAAAGAAACAGAAAACTTTTGAACTCAGTTTACAGTAAGAAATTATCATAAAGTATATGACGAACTATTAGTAATGCTAAAGAGCCAGCTTTTGAGCCAGCTTTTGAGCCAGGTTTAGAGCCAGCTTTAGCGCCAGCTTTAGAGCCAGCTTTTGAGCCAGCTATTGATAAAGTAGTTTAAATCAATTGCCTATTAGAATGGTAATTTTTAAATCTACAGGATGGCGCACAAAATTCATTAGATACGTGTTTCAGCGTTTTTTAAAATACTCAAAGAAATGTTGCTACGATTAACAAGTGGTTTTTTCTTTATATAAATAACTTCTGCATTTCATTGATTGAGGTGAAAAATTTGGAAACTGGTGTAAAGGAGTGCGGTCTAAATGTGTGGGCACCTCCGATAATGAACCCAAAAGTCAATCAATCGACCTAATTCTTTTTCTATTATCAAAGTGAATATTTCTTTTGCAATGTGTTTTCTGGATTTGTTCAGAAAAGTTTCAAAACTTTTGCTAGAGCGCTGCAAACTTGCGCTGCATTATTTCCTGCGACGAAATCGTGATTTTCTGATTTTTCTAACTCGTTTCAATGCCTCAAAATCAATTCAGAAGATTCATTTACTTCTTTTTACTTACCAAAGTTCGTCGTAAATTCGCATGATAGAAATGTGAATTGTGATTTGTATTAAAGTTTAGTAAAAGTTTCATTTAAGTGAATCGAATCGAAAAAGACTGAAGAGGAATTTAAGTTTTCAATCTTTTATATGAAAGGAAAAGGAAACGGAAGAAAAAAAAAAGAGAGTGAGTGTGAAAGATTACCCAGTAAACTCGAGATTTCATCCGTAGATATGGAAAGTACAGATCGTTGAGCTCAAAACACAATAAAGATGTAATGAAGGAAATTTTGAATGAAAAACATGTAAGCTGGTAGAATTTTAAAGGAAAAATGTAGAAGAATTTGGAGATTTTACGATGATCTGAAAGCTCAAAGCCGATTTCAACATAAAATGCAAGTGATAAACATAAACAAAATCATTTGAAATCCTTAATCTATTAGATAATCTTTAAAATTGTTTACTGATCACCCTTTGAAAGCAATCATCTTTTTAAATCCTTAAATAAATCAAATTTTCTGAAAGAATTTTTGATTAAAAGCTTGAATCCTAAAATTTCTCAATATTCAGATAATCAGTTTTATTTTCTTTTTTGTGACCTAAGCAGATGAAAGAAAATTTCGTAAATAATTAAAGCCTTGTGATTATTTGAAGAAAATGGTGAAAACAAGAGAGGAAAGAGGTCAAAGGAAAAGGGGAAATGCGTGGGTGGGATGAAAGAGGCCAAAGAGAAAGAGTAAAGTAAAGAGAAAGTAAAGAGAAAAGTGGTCGCTCGTTCCGATCTCGAAATTTCGCTTCAATGAATTTGATTTAACGCTGACTTATTCAAACAATGGCTATTAAAGTAATTAGATAACATGCTCTGACACAGAGAACGAATGATTAAATCCTTCTGGCTTTGAGGAAGGGATCTCTGCTTTGAGTCAAAGTCAGTGCCAGAGCCAGAGCTAGTTTCAAAACCTTATTGGCTCTACGGCAGAGCTACTTTAAGGGCTAAATTTTGTAGATTGTAGGCTTTGTAGGCAAGACAGGGTTTGTAGATTTTCTTAGAACAAAGGTTGGCATAAAGCCTAAGCTTAAGGCTTAAAGCCAAAACTGACAATTCTAGAATTGTAGTGATTGATGAAGTGATTTATTAAACCAACAAAGCTCTAAATAATCTATTAGAACAATCATGTTCTTTAGCATCAAAGTACTTTGTTCAATACTTTGTCCAATCAAAGGATTTGCGGGATTGAAATAAAATAGAGATGAAGAAAAGAAGAAAAGAAGAAATGGCCGCTTCAATTTAACTAGGGATCTCGGTGAATTCAATTCAATTTCAATTCAATTTCAAAATTGAACACCCCCGCCTACATTCATTCATTCTTTACCATCGTAATTAAAAAAATAATTACAAGTCCGTAATTAAAAGTCCGTAGTTACAAGTTCCCGGTTCAACAATAGGAAAAACTTAAAGTGTTGTCTATTAAAAGATTATAATGAAGCTTTTAAAAGATTATAAAGAGAAATCGTAATAAATGGTTATTTTGAGCTGTTAGCTTTTCTCTAATGAGAATAAATTGATAGCTTTAAAAGCTATTTTTTAAATATCAATGTTCATAGAACATTTAGAAATCGTATTATCTATAAAAACCAGTAATTACCAGTAAATTTCTTACCAGTAATTTCCCTGTTTGCAAATAGTTTGAAAATTCAATAAGAATTAAAATTGATAGATTTGGGTTGATAGATTTGAGTGACAGTTTTGTCTCAAAGATGAACTTGATCGAAAGTAAACAGGGCTAAGCTCTAGGCTCACTGGGATAATTGTTTACAGAACGACTTGGCCGACGACAGAACGACTTGACCGACGACAGAACGACTTGACCGACGACAGAACGACTTGGCCGACGACAGAACGACTTGGCCGACGACAGAACGACTTGACCACAATGACATATCTTCAAAGAGCGCGAGATAGCTTGATACTCGGATAATTAGCGCAACACTCAAGAACAAAAACTTTGAATTCTACGAGCATTACTACAATTACATAGCTCTTCTTGTCTAAGTAACTAATTCGTAAAACAAACAAACAACTAAAACTAATTCTAAGTCTGTCTAAGTCTTAGTTATTTGAAGATACTGCCAGTCTGAGAACTTCGAACGGGTTTCAATTGAAAATTTGAATTCACTACAGAAAAGGATCTAGATATAACAAAAAAAATGTTAGAAAATAGGCTACGGTGGTAAATAAACGACGAGAAGATGAATGATGTCGAGAGGAAAGATCAAGAAAGATTAGGCAAATTTCGAAGGTATCTTTTTGTCTATCAGGTGAGGAAGAAAGGAAGGATTGTCACAAATTGAAAAAGAAAATGTACTAGATTGATTGTTGACTTTGATTCTCAATTCTCAATTGCTTACAGCCTTACCCATCCATCCATCCATCTGATCCATCCTTATTAGAGTGTGTTCCTTTCAAGAAATAGTGTGAAATAGGAAACGGATTAGATCGAAATCAATATTTCAAATATTTTCTTCAATTTTTAAGTTATTCAGTTGATTTTAAATGAACTCGTTTCCTATTTTGGACTATTTTTTTGAGAAAAACACACTCTATTCCTTATTCTTATCGAACCAATTCTGAAAACAAGTTAGAATTGGACTGTGAGGTTTGGCTTGCTAACTACTTGGCTTACTTGCTCTTCTAGATTGTCTTCTAGAATGCTAAGCTTTTTTTATCAGTCTTTAATCTTTCTAGATGATTCCAAGTGAAGTAAACAAAGCTAGGCTCTAGGCCAGGATAATGGGCTGAATGCCAGCAAGATTGGTTTGCAAAGGGGTGAAAAAGAGTCTTTTTTTTGTCCTCTATCACCTCAATTACAACTGAGGGAGATTGACAGAAAGGGGAGGGTCTAAAAGTGGCATTGGAACAGGAAGGGGAGGCGTTGCCTCACTCTGATCGCCGACCGGAAACGGCTCACTCTCTCTCGACAAAAAGTGTCCCACCTACCCCTTTTTCCTTTCTCTTTTCCTTTCTCTTTTCATTTCTCTTTCTCCATTTTCCATGAGATTTTGGATAAGTCCATTTTTCATGATCTTTTCGTTTGTTTGAGTCTTGAAACAGCCCCCACCTTCGCTTTTGAGGTGCAAATGAGTCGATGATTCTCGGAAAATAGAAAGAAATTGAGGAGAATGGATACATTTATCAAATGAGAAAAGAGATTGGATAGATGGTTAAGAAAATGAAAGAAAGATCAGAATGCTATTGTTTTTGAATTTTAAAATCTTTGATTTCAATTTGAACTTGTTTGAAAACAAACAGGTAAAGTAAACAAAAGAAAAAGAAAAGATGAAAGAGATTGTTAATTTAACTAACTGTTACTTTACTTAACTGCTACTTAGGTAACTGTTACTTAACTACCTATTACTTAACTTAACTGTTAACTGAACTAACTGTTACTTAGCTAACTGTTACTTAACTACCTGTTATTTAACTTAACTGTTAACTGAACTAACTGTTACTTAACTAACAGTTAACTGAACTAACTGTTACTTAACTAACTATTACTTAACTAACTGTTAACTTAGCTAAATGTTACTTAACTAACTGTTAACTGAACTAACTGTTACTTAACTAACTGTTAACTTAACTTAACTATTACTTGACTAGCTATTACTTAACTAACTGTTAATTAGCTAGATGTTAACTTAGCCAGATGTTACTTAACTTAGCTGTTACTTAATTAACTGTTACTTAATTAACTGTTAACTTAACTAACAGTTAACTTAACTAATTGTTACTTAACTAACTATTACTTAACTAACTACTACCTTAAAAAGCTTGTTAACTCTTCAAACCTTTTCCTGATCACTTTGTTTTGGTCTTAAATAAAACCATTTCGATCCATTCGTCCATCGATCATCAACATCGACTCGAACTTGACCATGAAACACTGTATTCAATCCTTTCAGCAATTCATTCCATAAAGACATCTAAAAATCAAGTTTTAATTCACAATTTTTCCAGAAATCACACATTTTCATCCAGAAAATGAATCTTTTATTTTAAATTCGTAAAGTTTTATGTATCTTACTCATTGTCAAAGAAAATGATAAGCTTTTTCAGTAAAAAAACATCTGTCAATCAAAAGCTTAATTCAAGAATTAACCTTGAAAATGTTAAAAAATTATTTAAAACTTAAATTCTTATAAATAAAATATATTGTAAAATAATAAAATTTGAGTTTTTGAATCGTTTTGGTTTAGTTGAATGCTAAATTTTGTGGTCTAACTTTGACGAACTTTGGCTAACTTCAAATTGAAGATAAGCATAAGGATTCTAATGCTAAACGTATTCTGTAATTCGATTTCGAAAAGTTCTTTCGATTTTCACGAACCTTAATGGAAAGAGTACCCTCTCGGGGACAATCCATGTGCAGCCAACGGGCTCCACCGCGGTCACTCGTCCCACCGATTCGTAATCTTTTTCCCTCTTTTGCCCCCTCTTCACACCTGAAAAATGTTCAATGAATTTATTTGCTTTTTTACTCACTTTATTTGCTCAATATTTCAAAATAAACTTGATGAAATTTAGCGCAAAAAGTCGGGGATTTTCAGAAAAATCAAAGTACAAACTATTCACTCACTTTACTAGAAGGAAGAGCTCGCTGGTGTCACGGATTGAAAGATCACTGATGTCAACGACTCTAAAAATTTGCTTAACTATGTAAAGACGTTAAAATTCATTTAAAACACTTTGTTTTAGATAGAATGATCCTTTTATTGGATCAGAGAACATGAAAATGAAGCTTTAGAAAATCAGCTTTAGCTTGAACATGAAGCTTTAGCTTGGTTTTGCTTATAGGAAGTTGGATTTAAGGTTTGGAACAACCAGATTTGAGTTGTTAAAGTGTTAACATTGATTCCATCAATTGCTTTGTAGTTGTTAAAGTGTTAGCATCAATTTTATCGATCTCTCTTAACTCAATGACTCAATGTTAACGTTTAAAAGCTTAAGAAAAAACTGGAACATGAACCCAGGTAGGTCAACGAGCAGCTAGTTCAGAAAAAAAATTGGTGATGATGTGTTGGGAAAAGAATGGGGTAAAAGTTGTGTTTCAAAGCGGGACTCACAAAGGCTTGTTCAAGGGTGAGAGAGGGGATGGTCACAGCTGACTCAGCCCTGCCCCATCCCCTTTTTCATTTGACTCGACTCATGTTCTCTCTTTTCTTTCAAATCCCATCTCGGCTTTCAAATTGCCGATCTTTCTAAGCAATAATGAACTAGTGGAAAAAAAAACGGTTAACGATAATAATGAACTAGTGGAAAAGCACTTAACGACAAGGCTTTCTCCTGTCCAATCATCAGTTAAAAGAGATAGAAAACTGCTTTTAAATCTTTAATAGTAGTAAAGTCTGACTTTTTAGATGAAATTGGTTTGGTTGAATGTAGAGAACTTGTTTAATTTGCATTTGCAAAACAATTCAAAGCGGTACTTTCAATAATCAAAAAGTTCGAGTAATCAAAAAGAGACAAAGAAATAGAAAAAGGGTATTTTGGCTGATTTAAATAAAGGATTTACTAAATCCGATGATTTTAAAAGATAAAAACTACAGACAAATCGATTCTAAAGGAGAATATAGATGGATATGGATCTTAGAAGTTGGATGAATGCTGAGTATAGGGAATAGCAAAGAGAGAAGACAATTTGCATAATACAGCCACATTTGGAGGGTGGGGAAAAGGGAAGTGAGAAGGGAAGTGAGAAGAGAGGTAGCATTAGAGGGGACTAATTCAAGGTTGTCCACCACCACATTGCTCATGCTAGAAAGATGGGAAGTAAAACAGACAAAGTAAGTGTCAAGAGTGAGATCTACAGCTCTCAATAACGTCGCTTCTGTTAGAAGCAATGTAAAATAGATGAAAGATTCTTTTAGTGACAATAGACAAAGACAAGTTTAGTTAAAGTTTAAAGAAAATGTAAATTTTCAGGCTGTAGATCTCAAGAGTGAGATCTACAGCTCTAGATCTACAGCTCTCAAGAGTGAGATCTACAGCTCTCAAGAGTGAGATCTACAGCTCTAGATCTACAGCTCTCAAGAGTGAGATCTACAGCTCTAGATCTACAGCTCTCAAGAGTGAGATCTACAGCTCTCAAGAGTGAGATCTACAGCTCTCAAGAGTAAGATCTACAGCTCTCAAGAGTGAGATCTACAGCTCTAGATCTACAGCCCTTAAGAGTGAGATCTACAGCTCTCAGTAACGTCGCTTCTATTAGAAGCAATGTAAAATAATAGGTTGATGCATAAGTCTTTTCGTTTTTTTCGTACTTCTGTTAAAAAGTAACAAATTCACGAATTAATCTATAGTTTGCTCTATAAAAAAAGTGTTTTTTTTGTTCAATTTGCATCTTTTTAAATGAATTTCGGTTCACTTTCAAGCAAATTCGAGAGTGAAAAACGCCTTTTTCGTAAAAATCTATAAAAAACTCTACGGAAAAATTGGCTGAATGAATTTCTCTGAAATTTTGGCGAAATATCAAACGTTTTTTTTCTCTATCTTTTATCTATTGACACGAAGATAGGTTTTCTTTAGCTAAGGTGTCTAAACCGCATCATCGAGTTAGCCCTTTTTGACTACCCGACTTCATACTCTCAAGAAAATGCAGGCATTAAATATTTTTAAACCCGTTTTAATGTTATTTTGCAGAAAAATAATTGCTTTTTCTAATGAAATCAACCGTAGTTTAATTCGTGCATTTGTTGGCTTGAAACGGCAGACGAAAAGGAACAAAAACACTTATGCATCAACCTAATAGATGAAAGATTCCTTTGGTGACAATGTACAATGTAAGATTCAAAGACAAGCTTAGTTAAAGTTTAAAGAAAATGTAAATTTTCAGGATAGTTCTAGATTAAGTTAATATCAGATTACTCATCTTAAAAATAATTAGTTCCTTTTTCAGAAATAAAATCAAATGAAATATGCTTTCTAATTGTGAGTTTTGTGACCTTCTGGCCTAATGACGACAAATTTTCACTCATGATAATTTGAGGGGAAACAGAAAGAGAAACAGAAAGTGAAAATTTTGAAAAGAGAAATCTTTTCACTACTTACCTTTCCTTCATTTTTCTTTTCTAAGAGATTTTGCTTGTGTCAACTTCTCCTTCAAAGGATTACCCAATGGACAGAGAGTGAACATTTTGAGTTAAGAATTTGTTTGTGCTGATCAGAAAAAAGTTGCGCTCTAGTTTATGAGGTAAATGGGAACAGCAAGACTTCAAAATTTGAGGACTTTTTTATTTTAAAGTCTAAACAAAGTTTAGGCTTAATAGTTTTGAAAAGAAAAAAAGCTAGTTTTCGTTTAGTTGGTTGTAGAATTTGTAGGAAAAATGTTTTCGATTAATTTTTTTTTTTATATAACATGGATGGATTAACAAATGAGATATCATATACTGTATTTTCTCTAATATTAGTGCACCCCAGCGAGCCGAGTTGATGACTATTTTACGGTTTCCAAGCTTTCTCAGAAGCTCAACACTCGAATCCCCTACCAGATCTCATCGTCAGCTACATTTTCCGACCCCACATCAATAGGTTCTGAGAAGCGGTTCTTGAGATTTCGAGCAATTTAGGCGACCTTCTGGGTAATCTGGGACTGGGAAATCTATCAAATTGTGACTTTGATTGACCAGAGAAAGAAGTAGCGTATTTTCTCTTATAGTAGTGCACCCCGCCGAGCCCAGTTGATGACTATTTTACGGTTTTCAAGCTTTCGCATAGACTCAACACTCAAATCACCCACTAGATCTCATCATCAGCTACATTTTCCGACCCCACATCAATAGGTTCTGATAAGCGATTCTTGAGATTTCGAGCGACTTAGGCGACGCTCTCGGTGTGCTACTATTAGAGAAAATATGATAGTTGGCAATATTTTAGCTAATCATATTAGAAAAGATTACACAAGTACAGTTCTTTCATAAGAAAAGCTTTGCAAGAACAAAAGCAAACAGGTCAACACCCATTTTGCTGATGAATAAGCAAGTCAAATGGTAAAAAGTGAGGAATTTAGCCGATCAAGATACATTTCGCTTTATTTGCTGAATCAAACTTTATGATCTCTCTGAAATTCTATAATGGGTCTGTTTTTTGAACAGTAAAGACAAAGAGAAGAGAAAAAAAAGAAAAACATCCCACTCACTTCTCATTTTTACGATGCTAACGTTGTTGGGTGGGGCTTATGAAATATGTAGGCGGATTTCATTGAGAGACTAAACGGGAAAAAGGGACAAAGAGATTGTGACGAAATAGTCGGAAACAAAAAGTGATTGGTACAAAAAGGTTCCTAGACTCAAATGCTGGATTGGAATTGTGAATGAAAGTCAGAAAATGAGATTCGATACTGTTCAATCTAATGTAAATAGCTAAGAAATTTGCAAAGAGAATTTTGGTGTTCAGTAGGCAATTTCAAAGAGAATTTGGCTTTTGCTGGGTTGGCTATAGATCAAAAAGTTTAATATTAAGTTTAACAATGTTTAACAATGTTTAACAAAAAAAGTTCTAAAGATAGCCAGAAAGCCAAGCCAAGCTGTTGGCAAGCTTTAAAGATTCTTGATACTTATTTAAATCAATTTAAATGTTTTAAACAAATGTTTTTAAAGAATAGGAGCTAATCATATTAGAAAATAAAGAAAAGTAGTAAAATAAATTCTTAAACACTTATAAATTGAACATAAAAATAAAATAAGACCAATGAAAAATTGAATAAAAAAAATTTTGGCGGTGAATCGGAAGTAAATTGAGAGGGAAAATGGAGAGAAGAAAGGCTTCAGATAAGGGAAAAATTCTTGCTGACTATAAGAAATGAACAGTGAACGCTTTTTCCTTTTCTGATTGCTTTGCGTCTCACTTGCAAGAATCACTTGCAAGAAATCGGGGTTTCGTCATAATGCCCTTATTCTTGAAGGTGATTAACAAATTCGACGTTATTTTGAGCGTACAGTTGCGTAGTTGTCAACTGTTTTTGCTGTTAATTTGGTGAATATTAATTAAACAATTTTAGTCATTTGATAGCCCTGAATCTCCTCTTGAAAACTAGTATAACCTAACGGAGAACTGGAATAGGAAATGAATCATAAAAGTCCTTAAAAACTTGAAGCTGGTTTAGTTACCCAAGTGGTGCCAAAGAAGTTTGTTAAATATCTAATAGAGATCTAATAGTGATCTAATAGTGATCTAATCGAGTAAACTAGACTTCTCTAAAGTTTGATTAACAAGATGAAGGTGATTAACAAATTCGACGGTATTTTGAGCGTACAGTTGCGTAGTTGTCAACTGTTTTTGCTGTTAATTTGGTGAATATTAATTAAACAATTTTAGTCATTTGATAGCCCTGAATCTCCTCTTGAAAACTAGTATAACCTAACGGAGAACGGGAATTGGAAATGAATCATAAAAGTCCTTAAAAACTTGAAGCTGGTTTAGTTACCCAAGTGGTGCCAAAGAAGTTTGTTAAATATCACTTTTTAGCGATTAAAAGAACGCAAAAGTAGCTCCGATTTTAAAAAGAAATTCTGAAAGAATTAAAGTTATAAATTCCTGAAAAGCAAAGTCAATCTAAATTTTTTTAAGATTTCTCAATTCTTGCTATTTGACTTGATCTGGAAAAGTCTCTTTAAAATTCTGTTTTAAATAAAAGCTAAATCGGTCGATAAATAACTGATAATACGATAAAAGCGAGTCAAATTCAGCAAAATATTACGCAACTTTGTGCTTGATAGGCTAGAGTCAACTCGAAAAAGAAAGTCAACTAGAGAGCAGCGCGGGGTTTTTCCTTCTCCCGGATATCCGGTTCTTGTTTATGTATTTCTACTCTCCTTCCGCTTATAGAAAGTTTATGAATTCATTAACTTTTTATCTTATCAAATTCTCTGGATCATAATCCCATTTTGAAAGGGCATTTCTGCAAAAGTTAAGCTTTTCTTGGTAATTGAATGGATGTGGATGTGGATTAGATAAAAGGATTAGACAGTTTCAAGAATTTGGAAACTTCTCTAAAATAGAATTGACCTTAAAACCTAAAAATAATCTTAGTATTTCGAAGAGAAAGATGAGAGAAATCGAAGAACTTTCTTGTCAGTTTCATTCTGACAACCTGATTGAATTGAAGTCAACAAATCAAATCAAATTGAAGATCTGCATTCAGATTAATGCAAGAAGTGCACCAGATCTTGCTAACAGATTGATATTTCAGACCTAGAATTGAATAAAAAGAAATTCACGAAAGATTTTGAACCTATGAGCTTTAGAGAATTCTTGTTTACTCGATTAGATCTCTATTAGATCTCGATTAATCTAGTTTACTCTATTAGATCTCTATCAATCTAGTTTACTCTATTAGATCACTCTAGTTAGCAGCAATAAAAACGATTAACTGAAAAGATATCAGAATTTCTTGCAGTTGAACAATTGATCCTTTTATAGGTGGGAATCGGCGCTGAGACAAAGAGAATCAGTGCCGAGATTTGAAACTAGACCTTCGACTTACCGAAAGCTCTACCAATGAGCTATACCAACACATTGCCGCCAAGATAGACCTTATGCTTTACTACAATCATTCTGTGGTTTGGTCATTTGGTTAGATCACCAGATGTCCACTAGAAAAGAAAGCTTTATAGAAAAGTGTTTATTTTATTGGTTCCAGATGCGAATGCAGTTTATTACTGTATCATTAAAGCATAAAGAAAAAGAGAAAAGTCGAAAGTGCTTTAATATCGAAAGAAAATTAAAAGGCATTAGTTTTAAAGTGATAGAACAATTCACGTTTAGTCTCTTAAATGAAATCCGCGTACATCTTTCATAAGCCCCACCCAAAAACGTTAGCATCGTAAAAATGAGAAGTGAGTGGGATGTTTTTCCTTTTTTTTTTCTCTTCTCTTTGTCTCTACTATTCAAAGAACAGACCCATTATAGAATTTCAGAGAGATCATAAAGTTTGATTCAGCAAATAAAGCGAAATGTATCTTGATCTCACTTTTTACCATTTGTGTTGTGTTGTGTTGTGTGTTGAATTGTGTTGAATTCATTTGTTTTAATCTTAAATCTAGCGCACTTTATCTCAGGTCCTGAATAAAGTATCTATATATTTGACTTGCTTATTCATCAGCAAAATGGGCATTGATCTGTTTGCTTTTGTTCTTGCCAAGCTTTTCTTATGAAAGAACTGTACTTGAGTAATATTTTCTAATGTGATTAGATAAAATATTGCCAACTATCATATTTTCTCTAATAGTAGCACACCGAGAGCGTCGCCTAAATTCCTCAAAATCTCAAGAACCGCTTATCAGAACCTATCGATGTGGGGTCGGGAAATGTAGCTGACGATGAGATCTGGTAGGGGGATTTGAGTGTTGAGCTTCTGGGAAAGCTTGGAAACCGTAAAATCGTCACCAACTCGGCTCGATGCGGTGCACTATTGTTAGAGAGAATCCGGTATATAGAAAGAGCTGTGTCTGTCTCTGCGTATCTGTAAACTCTGTGTATATCTGTAAACAATTGTAATTACCGCATTTTCTCTAATAGTAGTGCACCGAGAGTGTCGCCTAAATTGCTCGAAATCTCAAGAATCGCTTATGAGAACCTATCGATTCAGCAAATAAAGCGAAATGTATCTTGATCGACTAAATTCCTCACTTTTTACTATTTGACTTGCTTATTCATTATTTTATTGGTTCCAGATGCGATTGCAGTTTATTACCGTATCATTAAAGCATAAAGAAAAAGAGAAAAGTAGAAAGTGCTTTATCCAAACAACAATTTTTCAGTTAATCGTTTTTATTGCCGCTAATTAGAGTGATCTAATAGAGTAAACTAGATTAATAGAGATCTAATAGAGATCTAGTGATAGAACAATTCAAGCTTAAGCTTCAAATTCTTATTTCAAAGTTTTTCAAAAAGTAAAAGTTCTAGATGAAAAGCTGTGAATTTGGCATCAATATGGTTTATTTCATTAGTTTTCGTTTCCAATCGAAAAACTACAGTAATCTTCTACCGTTTTGACTTTTTTTTTAAAGTATTGGGTTGGTGGAATTTTTTGGCTCTGCCGCCCTTTACTAAAATAGCTGTAAAAACTTTTAGAAAAGAGATATCTCTAAACGGTTTTTACCAATCGATCCGTCTTGAATTCAGCTTTAGGATGAGCTATAAAACGTCAAAATTCGACAAATTTAAGGTACTCTCCCAAAAAATCCGAAAGGACTTTTCCACCAACCCAATAATTTTGTGTCAAGAAGCTTTGCTTACGAACCTCAATGAAAAACTGTTGCTCATCCGTCGAATATCCACACAAATTTGCCCTTGAACGTCCGAGAATTTACTCACAACACGAAGTGGAAACGACTGAAGTGATTGAGTCTTTTCTCCTTTATGATCTCAATGTTTTATGATCTCAAAATTTCAGTTTTACAGATTATGCAAATTTTACCTTGATAAATCGTCAGTATTTTTCAAAAAACTCACCTGCTCTTTATTCAAACTTTTCATCAAATCTTTTCTCTTTATAGAAACTCTGCCGATCGGACGTGCCGGTTTGCCGACTCTTGCCGCTTCAACAACAACAAGATGTAAATGATTGAATGGAGAAGAGACATCGTAGGTAAACTCTTCCAAAATATCTTCACTAAATTTGTTTGATTCGTTGTTGATCTTGAGGAAACCTAGAGGTTGCGGAAACCTAGAGGTTGCGGAAACCTAGAGGTTGCGGAAACCTAGAGGTTGCGGAAACCTAGAGGTTGCGGAAACCTAGAGGTTGCGGAAACTTAGAGGTTGCGGAAACTTAGAGGTTGCGGAAACTTAGAGAATCTCACCTCGAACTCTTGGGAATTGCAGCTGACTGAAAGACGTCTCTGCTGTCTAGTTTCCCAAGAATATAGACGGGTTTTTGAGATGCACCACGCAATCCCTTCAATGAGAAAACTTTCACTCGCAACATTTCTATCACCCGAAGATCACCGACTTGTCTTCCGGGTAAAGAATTCGACCATATCTTTCTCTAAAGCTTGATAAGATAACGATCTTTATCATCTTCAATGATTTCTTTCAATATCTTTCAGCTATTAGCTTTATAAGCACTTATTCAGTTCAATAGTAAACCTAGTACATTAATATTGGGTTGGTGAATTGAAAAATTGAAAACTGCGAGACTTTGAACTAAAATTTATTCAACATAAAACCATGAATTCATTCGAAATAATTTCCATTATAATTGACGACTTCTGACCATTTTACAGGCAATTTGCGGATTCCTCTTTCGTAGTAGGATTTTGGTTTTGAATCGAAAAACTTTCAAAGCCAATTTTTGACTGCTTCTTCCGAATCAAAGTGTTCTCCCGCAAGCTCATGATCCAGAATAAATATTAATCAAAAGGGGAGAGGTCCGGTCTGTATGGGGAATGCGCCAAAAGTTCTCAAACATGGCTATTTATATTAGAGCGATTCAGTTTTGCAATATGAGGGCGCGCGTTGTCGTGGATGAGAAAGATCTTTGACTTGGAGGGCCTATTCTTCTTCAGGGATTCATTCACCTTTCCCAACTGTCCACTGTATTTGATTGCATTAACGGTCGTCTTGCTATCCAGCAACTCCCAGTACAAGTGTGTGAGACAAGTGCGAGACTCAAAAATGGAGGACTGGAGATGTCCCAATGTCCCAGTTTGAGCACTTTCTTCAAAAGAAACCTATTTTGGTGTCAATAGAAAAGTTGTAGAAAATCAAAAATTAGGCTTATAGCCAAATTTCCAAAAAGATACACTTAGTAGTTTCGCTTAAAATGCAAGTATTTGGTGAAAATTCGTAAATTTGGTATTTCTTGAAAACCAGTTTTTGAATCGTTCTGAAAATTTGGATATAAGCTTGATTTTTGATTCTCTACAACTTTTCCATTGACACCAAAATGGGTTTCTTTTGAAGAAAGTGCTCAAACTGTCACATATGACAATAGCCGGCAGTTTTCAATTCACCAACCCAATAGTTCATTAATAGCTTCTTTACCTCAGCAATTTCAGGTGGTGTTAAAGGATTGGGCTTCTCCAAAACAGTTTGTGCGGGAATCGATTGCAATGGAAGAATTCGACCCTTTGGTTGCAATGGATTCCCCTCATTTGATCCTTTTCTTCTCATTGATCTTTTTCGTTCACCAATACTAATCGCTGAAGAAGATGTCCCAGAAGATGGCCTAAAAAAAGAGCCATTTCTAAATGAATTCAACGAATTCAACTCACTCATTCTCTTTACCATCATTGTTTTCGTTTAAAAAACCGGGAAAAATTGAATCTTCGCGTGACATCAAAATTCTAAAAAAATAGTTTTATTTGATCTTATCGCCAAGTAAAATTAAAATTATTTAATATTTCTTCAAAACAAACGCTTCAGATGGTACAGATGATGGACGAATTGAACGAACGGAGATTTTCCTTGCCGACTCTTTAGCACGAAGCATCAAAGTATTATCGGGTGGGCAAGGAAGGGTTTCACTTCGTGGTAAACAAATTGACTCACATCGCCGCCGAATATCCTCTTTTTCCTTTAATCGATGAAAGTCGTTAATGACAATGACAATGACAAGCAAATTCAAAGATCCAAACAGTTCCAGGTTTTTTAGCCAGGCCAGATTCAGGTCTAGCTTCTGATGGGCCCAGGGACTTGTCAAGTCCAAAGTGAAACCAATCAAAGGCAAGGCTTGGCCTTAACCTAACCTGGCCTGATTTACTAATCCTAATTATTAACGACTTTCACCTTTAATCGGTGAAAGTCGTTAATGACAATGACAATGACAAGCAAATTCAAAGATCCAAATAGTTCTAGGTTTTGTAGCCAGGTCAGATTCAGGTCTAGCTTCTGATGGGCCCAGGGAATTGTCAAGTCCAAAGTGAAATCAATCAAAGACAAGGCTTGGCCTTAACCTAACCTGGCCTGATTTACTAACCCTAGTAGAGTTCGAAGTAGAGTTTGAAATATTTACTTACTTTCTCTAAAGCCAAGCTCTATTCTCTAAAGCCAAGCTTGCATTCAGCTCAAGTAAAGTCAAATCAAACGCAACCAAATTTTTGGACTGAGCCTGTCCGACTGCCTTAGAAATCTTAGAACAAAAGAATTGCTTTTAGAAACCCTCAAATCCTAACAAACCTCTTTTTTCGAAGTGGTTGGCTCGGAATTTATCGTCGTTGTCTCAACATTCGAATAATCTTCTCCAAAGATTCGTGGAAAAACCTTAATGGCTATTTTCAATCTTTTCAATCTTTTCAATATTTTCAATTGTGTCTTTTTGCTCAATGATTTCATTTAAAAAAAAGGTGCTCATTAGTGCTTTTAGTGATTGAATTTTGGATAAATGATGAGAGGTACAATTGTACAATTGATGAGAGGTAATTTTTGATTTAAAGCTTTAGCTGACTCTTTGAGGTGTATCTTTTAAAAGAATACAGAGTATTCGATATTTATAGGGATTATTAGATTATTGGTTTTAGAGCTCATTTTATACAAGTTTAATGCTAAAAGGGAAACTCTTATCAACTTTAAGTTACTTTTTTCTAAATTATTGCCTATTGCTTGAAGGTTAGAGCTCATCTTATACAAGTTTAGTGCTAAAAGGGAAACTCTTATCAACTTTACAACTTTACAACTTTACAAACTTTAAGTTACTTTTTTCAAAATTATTACCTATTGCTTGAAGGTTAAAAAAATTGCGTTTTTCACAAATGTCACGTTAAGCTTTCTTAAAAGAACCAAAACTGTGATTCTAACATTTTTAATGTTTTGTAAATTTGAAAATTGTTAAATAATGAAGATTTTCTTATTGTTAAACAAAAAAGAACTAATGAAATTTGGTGAATTTCTGAATGAATTGTTAAATATGTTAATAACAGAATATTAATGTTAATATTCTGAGTATGAATCAATTCTAGAATGTAAAATTTAATAAACTCTAAAAATAATCTAAAAACCTTTTCTTTAAACTTCTTTTGCAATGCTTTCTTAACGATTTTTTTTTCATAAACCAATTTTAAGAGCATTAAATGAAAGCTCAAAAGCTTGTGAGCTTTTGAGCTTTTGAGCCAGTAAGCTCAAAAGTTTCCAAGATTGAACAATTTCTGTACAATTTCAAAACCTTCTCAATTGGTGTGTTTGACGCAGAGTTCTCTGTGGAAGTGTTGAGAAGATCAAAGCATGAGTCATCAATCGTTAACTCGCCCGGTCGTCCTCCGTAAGAAATGACCGATTCGGAAAGAGTTATCATCGATCCATCATCACTGAAAAAGTGCTTGAGTTATTACGATTACGATAGAAGTATTACAGAGCTTGTTTTCTTGATTTTAAAGCATTACAATCGACAGTCGAACTTCGATATAACGAATTTGAAAGTCTAAAGCGTGCCTAAAGTTTCTGCCGCAGCTCAATGAGTGTCCAGAGCAGCTAGGCAAAAAATTTGAAGCCGGTTTTAGGTTCATTCGAAGTTTTCATTCAAGCTATTCATTAAATTGAAGTTCAACTGTATAGTCAAAAATTGAAAACACTAAAATATGCGTTTTCTAAAAGAAAGATTTCAAAAACTATCATAATCTATAGTTCTTTTTATTCTTTTTTTACTTAATTTTGTTTTCTTTTAACAATAAAATTTGATCCTCATCAAATAAAAGCAAAAATTAAGTAGAACGATCAGAATCTGCTCTGCTCTGCGCTGCTGATGTGCGCTGATGTGTGCTGGTGTGCTGCTGCTGATCTGCTGCTCTGCTCTGCTCTGCAGAATCAAAATCTGCACAAATTACCGTCAAATACTTTTTAGGGAAAGGGAAATTGAAAGGGAAATTTTGATTATAGACTTTAAGTTCTTAAAATCCTATTTTCTTACCTCATTTGAGCTGAATTTTTATGTTTATGCGGGAAAATTGGGCTTGAGATCGGTGAAAAGCATGGCAACTCCGAAACATCCTCGCATTCATTTCTCTAGAAATTTGATCTACTTGAAGCTCTAGTGGATCCTTGACGTTATCTGTGCTACATTATATCGTGTTGACGTTATTTTTGCTACATATATTACATACATTATATCGTGTTGCTTTTTTTGCACTCGAAATTCAACTTTTTTAACTCTAACTTTTTCAAACTATTACATCAAATTAGTTCTGAGAGAGTCGAATAGTCTCGAAACCTTTCAATTATTTGTAGATGATCTCGATCTTGAAGCTCTAGTGAATTCTTGACGTTATCTGTGCTACATTATATCGTTTGCGTTTTTTTGCTACATACTTCTCTTTATCGTGTTGCTTTTTATCGGCCATTTTCGTGTTATGTGAATGAATTCATGTGTATTAATCTTAAATCTAGCTTTATTTTGATGCGTTCCTGAACAAAATATCTATCTTACTTATCGAGGTTATTATTTTGTTACCATTCTACATTCCGTATAGTCTTAAATTGATATTAAAATCAAAACATAAAGATCAAACCTCACGTCTACTCTCATCCTCATCATCTCCATCGTTCTCTGGTCCAAAATCCATCGAGCAAGTGCTCGAATCCCGTCGTAGAATTGGCTGTAAATGAAATTCATTTAAATCTAAATACATTTTATTACAATTGGATCCTTTTCAAGTGCTTCAGGAGTAAATTCTTCAATTGGACTCCCAGCACTACCACTTGGACTCATTCGTCTTTCAACAGCTAATGGTGATGGTCTTCTTGCCTGAAGCTGGATATAAAGCTTTAAAATATTGACTAGATATTATACCATAATCGATTTATAAGCTCTTTCTTTATTTCTTCTTGGAAATGTTGCACCGGACCATGATTGACTGAATGGAGATGGTGGAGGAAGACCGCGAGGAGGGCAATCACTTTGAAGGACAGTTGGCCCGGAGTGAGCCTGAATTTGATTATAATTTCTTTGCTTTTACAATATTTATATAAATATTAGTCTAAAGAAGCTCTTTTTAAAGAGAAAATAAGACAACTATTGTCTACAAATAAGTTATTAACATTTGTTTTCTAAATTAAGGTGTATTTCAGGGCTTTTAATCTAAAGCTTTTAAATTTTGTTGATTTAAAAAAGCTTAAACCTTTGTAGTGCTATCGTTTGTTGATTCTTTTTTCTCATCTTTGCTCTCTTCAATTTCTATAGTGAGTTGATCTTTCTGGGAAGTGGATGGGCCGAGTGTGGGATGCGCACTCATCTCCACATCCTTCCCCAATGTGAGTTCTCTCTAAAAATTCGATTTCAAAAGCTGATCAAAAATTGTTCAAAGAGCAAAAGGTGATATGGGAAGGAAAGGGACAAAAAGTTGTGCTTTTTGTAAAAGTTTTAGCAAAACGCAATGTTAAATAGATCAAATTCTCATTCTCAAATTCAAGAATACTTCAAGCACTTCATCAACATCAAAAATTCATCAAACTGGTAAACAAATTGGTAAGTGAATAATGGATCAATTGAATTCAAGCTTTAAACCAACTAACTCTTGATGAGGCTTCTTTGAATAAAGATCCGTGAATCTAACTGTTATAGAAGTAAGTCTAGCTTCCAAACTTTCCAAAACTCAAGGCAAAAAGTTGAAAAGTATAACAATAATGTTATCAGCTAAGCAGCAGATTAATCAAAGCTCAAAAACTCTTCTTAAACACTTGAAGAGATCTCGAAGATCAAGAGAACAAGTTTAACTCTTTAAACTTTTTAAAGCTCAAGCAGTTCCCAAGGCGGTCCTCCTTTGAATCAACATTGAATGTAATGTAATCAAAAATTAATCAAACTGGTAAACAAATTGTTAAGTGAATAATGGGCCAATTGAATTCAAGCTTTAAACCGACCAACACCGAGGCTTCTTTGAATAAAAATTCGTTGAAATTGTTATAGCAGTAAGCCTAGCTTTCAGACTTTCCAAAACTCAAAACAAAGTAAAAGTATAGTAGTAATGTTATCAGGTTATCAGGTTAATCAAAGCTCAAAAGCTCTTCTTAAAGACATGAAGAGATCTCGATGATCTAGAGAACAAGTTTAACTGGTTCAAACTTTTCGAAGCTCAAGCAGGTCCCAAGGCGGTCCTCCTTTGAATCAACATTGAATGTAATGGGTTGGAAGATGTTCTCTTCTCTTCTTTCATTCTATTCTTTCCTTTTCTTTAGAGATTTAAAAGTATAGCAGTAATGTTATCAGCTAAGCAGCAGATTAATCAAAGCTCAGAAGCTCTTCTTAAAGACTTGAAGAGATCTCGAAGATCAAGAGAACAATTTTAACTGGTTCAAACTTTTCAAAGCTCAAGAACAAAATCCCAAGGCGATCCTCCTTTGAATCAACATTGAATGGAATGTAATGAAAACATAAAATACAACTGGTAAACAAATTGGTAAGTGATTTGGTCAATTGAATCCAAGCTTTAAACCAACCAACTCTTGATGAGACTTCTTTCAATAAAGATTTGTTGGAATTGTTATAGCAGTAAGCCTAGATTTCAAACTTTCAAAGCTCAAGAACAAAATCCCAAGGCGGTCCTCCTTTGAATCAACATTGAATGTAATGGGTTGGAAGATGTTCTCTTCTTCTCTTTTCTCGAAAAGACTTGGTTTAGAAACGAGAAAATGGATAGATGAATGAACGAGAAAAACACATTCCATTTGATCAGTTTTACGTGAAAATGTCTCAAAGAGGGGAAAGGAAATGGAGAACAAGAGCGCCAAAATGAACGTAATGAATTCCCATTTCCAATTTTTCTAATAGACAAATTGTGTAGAGGAAATTGTACAGTGAAATTGGGTAATCCTGGGGATTTTGGCCTTCTTTATGGCCATAATTTTTTAAGTTTATTCCACAGAAACTTGTAGACTTTATAGCCATATTAAAACATAGAAAATGTCAAGATTAGAAAGCTTAAAAGCAAAGTTTAATGTCTAACTTTTTGCTAGTTTATTGTGTGATCTGTAAGTTTGAGTTTTTTTGCTTCCTTTGGCAAGACTTTGAGCCTAAAATCAAATTAACTAGTTAAGAGTTGAGTAATTCAGTATTTTAGAGTTTTAATCAAGGGTAATAACTTTTTAATAACTTTATTTGCCAAGATTTTTCAAGATTCTAAATGCAACCTTCAGTAAATTCCACTGATCAAAAAATGATCGATGTTTTGCAGAGGGAGAAGCTGAGGGAAAATGAAAGGAGAAAAAGGACTGGTTATCCTCTCTTTTTCATTCATGTCCTTGTTTGGGGAATGAGAGAAATAGGAAAGGGGAATGGAATGGAATGCGAGTGATGGTCTCAATCACACATGACTTCACCCGTACACCCCAACAACCGGAAGTCGTCATTTGGAAAGAGAAGAATGTTTGAGTGAATGAGTTTCATTCATTTATTGTCTCTTTTGTTTATCGAGATCAAAAAGCAATGAAATTAAACTAAACAAAATTCGATTTGAGTCCTAGAAAGTACAGATTTCTTTTTGAAATCAAATCTTTCTATGTTTTGAATAATTTTGAAAATCAAAGGAAATAAATAAAGAAGTAAAAAGGTTGTTGAAAGCTGATAGAGCTGATAGATAAAATAGCTGATAGATAAAATAGCTGATAGATAGAATAGCTGATAGATAAAATAGCTGATAGATAAAATAGCTGATAGATAAAATAGCTGATAGATAAAATAGCTGATAGATAAAATAGCTGATAGATAAAATAGCTGATAGATAAAATAGCTGATAGATAAAATAGCTGATAGATAAAATAGCTGATAGATAAAATAGCTGATAGATAAAATACTGATGATAAAATACATAAAATAGCTGATAGATAAAATGCTGATGGATAAAATGCTGATAGATAAAATAGCGATAGTAAATCATTGAAAAATTCTTGTGAATGATTGAAATAAGTAAAGTTGAAAAGTTCTTGGATTGAGTTATCGACTCAAATATTTAGTAAACAAGTGTGAGAAATGATGGATTTTGATCACGAGTAATTGAGGCAAGTAATCAAAAGTCGTAGCCGGACAATTGATTCAGGAAATGATCGATACAACCATCTCTACTATATACAAAAAATAAAACGTCTATCCGTCCGTCACGCCTATGCAATGCCTATTGAAATTACGTTAACGTAAAATTACAACAAACGAACTTGAACATTTGTACTCGAGGATTTTCAGGGGGTGAGGAATCCGAATTTGCAATCAGATTTGTGCTACGTGCCCCCAGTACCTCTAGGTAGAATATCTCGAGGTACTGAGGGAAGTAGCGGACGCCCAGCGCAACTGGTACCGTAAATACTCTAATAGGACGCCACCCCCATGACGGGCGTACAGTCACGTAGTCTAACTTTAAACGTCCCGTTCGCCGCGCTACGTGCCCCCAGTATCTCTAGGTAGAATATTCGTGCTGACGCCCAGTGCAACACACAAAATTTCGCAATTTTATCTATTAGACCAATACTGATTAAAATTTAGCTGATAAATGAAACATTTCTAGACAAATGAGACGTTTTTCTTATGAAAAGAAAGTTCTGATCTCTGCAGTTGACTAAACGTTTTCGGAAAATTACTTCAAAGAAGAGATAAAGAGAATTTTTTAAAGATTGCAACGATAATTGAATGAAGAGAAATACCAAGACTGTTTAGGGAAGAAAAATGGATTCGAGAAAGGAAAAGAAATCGGGAAAATGGGGAAAAGGACAATCGGAGAGAAGGAGTTGAAGGTCGCATTGTTTTAATGTCATATTCATTGTGGAAATAATCGATGCAGGCAGATAGGAAGATGTAGATAAATGACTTATTGTCAAATAGTGCATTCTGTTGTTGATCAAGAGAGTTATCAGTACATTGCAAGTTGGAATTCAGTAAACTACAAAAAAAGATCTTTTTAAAGTATGACCAAGACCTAGCGTAACCTGTAGATCTTAAGATCTTAAGATCAAAATAGCTGAAGATCTTAAGTAAGAGCTTAAGATCAAAATAGCTGAAGATCTTAAGATCAAAATAGCTGAAGATCTTAAGCAAGAGCTTAAGATCAAAATAGCTGAAGATCTTAAGTAAGAGCTTAAGATCAAAATAGCTGAAGATCTTAAGCAAGAGCTTAAGATCAAAATAGCTGAAGATCTTAAGCAAGATCTTAAGATCAAAACATCTTAAGATCTTAAGTAAGAGCTTAAGCGTAACCTGGATTATCTTTCTTTATCTCCATATGTTTATCTTTTTTTATTCTAATGAAAGATATTTTGATTAAAGACAAGACTTTAGAACCTGTCAGAGCCTCAAAAACAGACATTTTCAGACTCAAGTCTTTAGTCCTCAGAAAACTCTGATCAGATCATATCTTTACTCGTTTAAAGAACAAAATGTAATGATAATGTTTTACTAATTCATACTTTATTCATGAAATAAAGTTAAGAAGACAAAATGATATGAATAAGTCTAAATTTGAAATGGATTAAACCGTTAACTGAAAATATTGGATCAGTAAAACTTAATCAAATCAAAAGTTTCAAATAATCTTTAAATCATAATAATTTTCTTTTTTAAGTCAATTCGAGCAAAAGTGTTTATTCATTAGTCTTTGAAAGAACAAGAAAAAAAGCGCAAACTAGGTGTGTGGATGATTTCGAGGCCGCGCCACTCGGGCGCCATTCCATTCTCTTTAAGTGAAAGAAAGATATATCAGTGGAAAAGAAAAGAAAAATGAGAAAAATGAATGAGAAAAGAACAGTCGATGATCAAATCGAATGAAAGAATGGATGAATGAATGAGTGATTGGAGAAAAGGGATGGGAAAAGGATGGAGGGGGATGGAGGGGATGAAAGACTGTTAACGATGGAATGTATGCCTGCAAAAAAAAGGCTTTCATTGATTGCAATGATTGCAAAGCGCTTTTCTAATGATTATGTAAATATTTAGCATCGTAAAAATGCAAATTGAGTAGAATGGTTTTCCTCTTTTCTTTCGCTTTTCTTTCTCTTCACTTTTTTCTTCGAAATTTCCGAAATCCAAGTTTGGAGCTATTCACTTAATAAAGTCTTTGAAAGAACAAGAAAAAAAGCGCAAACTAGGTGTGTGGTGTTTCGGGCCGCCCACTCGGGGCCAATAAGTGAATAGTTTCAAACTTGTTGACGAATTGTTTAATGCTATTCACTTTATTAAGGCCTAAGCCTGAGCCTTAATAAAGTGAATAGCTCCAAACAATTCGCCGATCCTGAAAATCCCCGAGTACACATTTACAGCTAAATATTTTTTGTACAATAGCAAAAGAAAAATCCCTGGCGACTTGGAGAGATGTTTTTTGTAGTGCCACACAATCACTGGCCATCTGGCAAACCCCTCCGGTATAAGAAGCTTTCCTTTTTGAAATAATTGTATTCTAAAGAACTTGAAAAGGAGCTAGTGAAATTACAGCCAATTCTAGGGATTCGAGCAGTTGTTTGATGGATTTTCAATCAGAGAATGATGGGGATGATAAGGATTAGAGTAGACATGAGGTTTCATCTTTATGTTTTGATTTTAATATCAATTTAAGAATATACTAAATGTAGAATGATAACAAAACAATAACCTCAATAAGTAAGTAGATCAGAAAGAAAGATAAAGAAAGAGCTTATAAATCGATTATGGTATAATATCTAGTCAATATTTTAAAGCTTTATAACCAGCTTCAGGTCAGAAGACCATCACCATTAACTTTTGAAAGACGAATGAGTCCAAGTGGTAGTGCTGGGAGTTCAATTGAAGAATTTGCTCCGGAAGAACTTGAAAAGAATCCAAGTGTAATAAAATGTATTTAAATTTAAATGAATTTCATTTAAAGCCAATTCTATGAAGGAATTCCAGGATTTGGTTGATGGGTTTTCAATCAGAGAATGATGGGGATGATGAGGATTAGAGTAGACGTGAGGTTTCATCTTTATGTTTGTTTTTAAAATTTAAAACAATATTGATTAACAAAGGGATTATTACTAGTTATAGAGTCATAAAAAAGCAAAAAAATATTATTTTTAAACATACACTACTGGACAATGAAATATGATATTTGAAAAAAGATCGTCACTTTCGCGCGTCTGTAACTCCCTTGTCTTTACCGTATTTCTAAATATTAATATTACCATTGTGTAGCCCTTGAAAAGAGCTTTCAGAAAATATATAACACTAATAGTTTAAACGCAAAGACAAGGGGAGTTACAGACGCGCGAAAGTGACGATCGTTTTTTCAAATATGATATTTCATTGTCCAGTACTGTAGCTATATATATATATATATATATAGATACTTTATTCAGAACATGAAATAAAGTACGCAAGATTTAAGATTAATACACATGAATTCATACACATAAAAAAGAAAAGGGCCGATAAAAAGCAACACGATATAATGGATGTAATATATGTGAAAACATCACATGTTACTGCAAGAAAATCGAGAATTGAGTACACTAGAAGTGCAATTTCAAGTACAAAGTACACATTTTCTAATCTTTTCTTGAACTACACTACTGGACAATGAAATATGATATTTGAAAAACGATCGTCACTTTCGCGCGTCTGTAACTCCCTTGTCTTTACCGTATTTCTAAATATTAATATTACCATTGTGTAGCCCTTGAAAAGAGCTTTCAGAAAATGTATAACACTAATAGTTTAAACTCAAAGACAAGGGGAGTTACAGACGCGCGAAAGTGACGATCGTTTTTTCAAATATGATATTTCATTGTCCAGTACTGTACTTACTAGCAAACGGATTTATATTAGATATTATTGCTAAACATAGCTATACTTTATTCAAAAACCTGGATACTTTTCCTTTTACTTTTCAGTATTTAACGTTGATCAATTAGAAAATTCTCCAAATATCTAAAAAGATAAAGATTTCAGTCATTAGTGTATAAGTAAAAGAGCTATAGTTGTTCTTCGTATAAAGAAAAGAAAGAAATCTTTAAAAAAAAGAAGGATTCTGAAAGAGATTGTGTTCTGTGGCAGTGGTTGGTCATTGATTGGCGTGGACTGTGCCGATTTCAGCCCAACACACAGAAGAAATAGGGGCAAAAGAAAGAGGGAAATGAAGAAAAGACGAAGAAATAGACATACAGACATTGAAAAGGAGAAGTGATCATCAAAATAGGGAATCTTTTTTCACATCACAATTTTCATGGCACGTTTTTTCTCGTTTTCTGGGTGTGATTTCCGTTTTTTTTTTCTTTTCTTTTGCCTTTTTTTTTGAGAGATTAAGATTGCTTTTATTTGATATTAGGTGTGATTGGTCATGTGCAAAAAAAGCTCAATGATAAGTTTTTCCAAGAATTTTGCTGAAAACTTGGAATAGTGGTTTAGAATCATAAAGATTGACACGTCAAATTTGGGCTAAAAGGCAAAAACTGCGGAAAAGCGTTGCGTAGTTTGCGTAGTTGCGCAGTTTGCGTAGTTGCGTAGTTGCGTAGTTTGCGTAGTTGCGTAGTTGCGCAGTTTGCGTAGTTGCGTAGTTCCGTAGTTTGCGTAGTTGCGCAGTTTGCGTAGTTTGCGTAGTTGCGTAGTTTGCGTAGTTTGCGTTGTTGCGTAGTTTGCGTTGTTGCGTAGTTTGCGTAGTTTGCGTTGTTGCGTAGTTTGCGTTGTTGCGTAGTTTGCGTAGTTTGCGTAGTTGCGTAGTTTTTGCCTTAGGCCTTATTTAATATAAAGTAAAAGATATTCAGTTAATTATTATTAAATCAAATAATGTCACTGAAATCATTTAACGGAGTGGGACAAATGCGGCCTTTTTTTTGCGCACCCGGACATTTGCGCACCTTTTTTTTGCTGGAAAAGGCCTTAGGAAAGGTCGTAGAGCTTCGAAAATATTTCCGTATACGGGAATCGTATGCGTAGATTCCGAATTTCGACAAATCAGACCTCGCTGACACGTCAAATTTGGGCTAAAAGGCAAAAACTACGCAAAACGCTTTTCCGCAGTTTTTGCCTTTTAGCCCAAATTTGACGTGTCAGCGAGGTCTGATTTGTCGAAATTCGGAATCTACGCATACGATTCCCTTCTACGAAACCATTTTTGAAGCTCTACGACCTTTCCTTTTCCAGCAAAAAAAAAGGTGCGCAAATGTCCAGGTGCGCAAAAAAAGGCCGCATTTGTCCCACCCCCAAAAATTGCTTTTCTATTTTTTTTCGCGCAAGAGCAAAAAAATCTATTATTTTCTTTCTTCTTGCTTTGCCTTCATGTTAGCCAAATTTTGTTCTAGTGGTTCAAAGTATTAACCCTTTAAGTAGTTGTTAGGTTTTGGTACATTTGGATTATTTCTTTCTTGACTTTAATCTTTTATCTCAATCAGAAGACTAAATTTAAAAGGTTTTCAAAAAAAAAATTAAACTAAGAAATCCTTTAGCTAGTTTTTATCGATTGGGTTTTATAAAAAAAACTATTCGTGTTATCTTTTTAACATTTAAACAAGCGAATAATTCTCTTTTTAAACATTTATTATTCAAAAGAAGTTATTCAATTATTTTATTCAACAAATACCTTTTTCGAATCTTTACGGTTGACGGCGAACCAAATTTTTTTGGCCAAATTGAAGCTCATTTTTAAGCACTTTAAACTTGTCAGATCAGAAATTTTTAATAAGATTTAGATAGCTTAGAACATTAGCTTTTAGAAGCTATTTGTTTTATCAAAATTTATTAACATAAACCTATCAAAAAGCGGGATGGAAGTTGGCCAAAAACTCGGCCACCGCCGATAATCGCTGCCCCCGTCGTTAACCGTAAAGTTCCCTTTTTCCTAATCTAACTTACAAAAACCAACCACCAACCAACCAACCAAAAACCAACCAACCAACACCAAACCAACCAACCAACCAACATCAAACCAACCAACCAACCAACATCAAACCAACCAACCAACCAACACCAAACCAACCAACCAACCAACATCAAACCAACCAACCAACCAACACCAAACCAACCAACCAACCAACACCAAACCAACCAACCAACCAACATCAAACCAACCAACCAACCAACATCAAACCAACCAACCAACCAACACCAAACCAACCAACCAACCAACATCAAACCAACCAACCAACCAACATCAAACCAACCAACCAACCAACATCAAACCAACCAACCAACCAACACCAAACCAACCAACCAACCAACATCAAACCAACCAACCAACCAACACCAAACCAACCAACCAACCAACATCAAACCAAAGAGCATTACAAAAAAGAATCTAATCAAAAATCTTTTCTCAAAATCAATCAAATCTAATCAATCTAATCATATCTAATATTAAAAAAGCTATAAAATCGCTTGTTGTGGTTAAAATTGGATTCTTTTTCATTGCAAAATCTTTAACAAAGCTTTTTAATGAAATCATAGTAAAGATTCATATTTTCTTTTGTAAATCCTTACCAATTCTTCTCTTGATTTCCTCTTGGTAGATGAATTTTCTCTCGAATTCCAGCTCATAAACTTTTTAGGGAAAAATGATGATCGAAAAGAGGTTGCATATTGCGGAAGTCTTTTTTTTTAGTCACTTTTCTCTTTTGGTGTGTTGAAGAGCACCGTTTTTCGGTGTGATTTTTGAGAGAACATCCTATCCTCATAAATTTTCTTTTGCAGACATCCGAACGCCTTTCTTCTAATCAATAAGAAATGATTTTGCTTTGGCTTTTGATGGCTCTTTGAATCGTTTAAGTGTTGAACTTTGCAAGCTTTTTATAGCCATTTCTTAACTCCTAATAAATATTTATTCGTCATCAATTTGCACTGTGAAATCATCTTTTTCATTCTTGTGATATTTGTTGTAAATGACAACGTTTTTCTCAGAGGAATCGAGATCAATGGAATCGTCAACATATCTGTAAACAATTGTAATTATCGTATTTTCTCTAATAGTAGGTGCACCCTGAGCGTCGCCTAAATTCCTCGAAATCTCGAGAACCGCTTATCAGAACCTATCGATGTGGGGTCGGAAAATGTAGCTGGTAGATCTATGGGGTTGAGTTTGAGCTTCGAAGCTTTGGAAGCCGTAAAATAGTCATCAACTCGGCTGGGTGCACCACTATTAGAGAAAATATGGTAGTTTGATTAATAAAATTTGATTGATTGATAAAACCTGTTCCAGGTCTTAGTTTTGAAAATTGTTGTCCAATTGAGAAAACGATTTGAAAATGCCAATTTATATGAGACTGTTACTTTTCTAATAGCAAAAAAGTGATCGGAATCTTCCCCAGCTTTGCCATTATGTTTGGGACGCTTTGAAACTACTTACAGAGATACTTTGGAGCTAGCGTATTCTCTCTGGTAGTAGTGCACCCTGAGCGTTGCCTAAGTTGCTCGAAATCTCGAGAACCACTTATCAGAACCTATCGATATGGGGTCGGAAAATGTAGCTGACGATGAGATCTTGTGGGTGATTTGAGTGTTGAGCTTCTGGGAAAGCTTGGAAACCGTAAAATAGTCATCAACTGGGCTCGGCGGGGTGCACTACTATAAGAGGAAATACGCTACTTCTTTCTCTGGTGAATCAGGGTCACAATTTGATAGATTTCCCAGTCCCAGATTACCCAGAAGGTCGCCTAAATTCCTCGAAATCTCGAGAACCGCCTTTCAGAACCTATTGATGTGGAGTCGGAAAATGTAGCTGACGATGAGATCTAGTGGGTGATTTGAGTGTTGAGCTTCTGTGAAAGCTTTGGAAGCCGTAAAATAGTCACCAACTCGGCTCGGCTAGGGTGCTATTACTATTAGAGAAAATACGGTAATAGTAAATTGATCAGTCATTTTAAGTGTAAGCAAAAGTTGTGTCTAGGTAAACTTGTGTCTTAACTTAATCTAAATAAATAAACAACTTACAATCCATCAAGATCATCGTTGAATGAGATGAATGACTCAATCAGATCTTCAGGCATATCTTTTTCAAGAAGCCACATTTCTAAAAGTCTTTTTTTTTTAGTTAAACAATTTTCAAATGAACCCTTTCGATTCAATCCTCCATCTCCATTCATGTCATATTCTTCAATAAGTTTCTTTGGAGTGACAAGAAGAGCAGCTTCGAGATAATCTTGAACCATAAAAACAATCTCATCCTCATTCAAGACACCGTCACCATCTTCATCGTAAAGCTGAAAACAATTTCTAGTATAACTTTGTTACTTCTGTTACGATACTTGAAGGATCTTGGGATCGGTGACTTGACCATGAGTGAAGTGTACAGAGTGGCGCGCAATTAGGTGGGCAATTACTCAATGGAACTAAGGTGGCACGTTCTTTATGGCTATGAAGTCGCGAACTCAAATTTTTGGCAGCTTTTTCTGTTTTTCTTGTTATTTAAGATTTTGGCAACATTTTATTTTTGAAATTTTAGAATGGCGAAGGAGCGTAGAGATTCGATCATCAACTTCTACGGGTATGAGGCAAAAAAGCATTTTCAGTCGATTGATGGTGGTTGTTTCAAAGACAATTCAACGCTAAAATCCCTTGGGAACAAATTACAATCGATCAGGACCAAGAACGACAATGACAACAAAGAAGACGGTGAAGAAAATGCGCGAAAGCCTACGCTAACGAAAGTTAACCTTAAAAATGAGTATCTCAAGACGTTTGATGGGATTTGATTTCAGTATTTGGAGTGTCCTAGAGGCCAAGGCATGCTTTAAAGCTTAACCATTTATTCTTTGAAGAAATCTCTTTAACCCATTCGAAACTTCTGCAGCGAAGAATAGATTCAAATTTTGCTCTTGACATAATGTGGGACATGTGGAAAAATCCTCCTAATCCAGGCCTGCTACTCCAGTAGTCACGAATCCTCGGTAATTTGACGATTCCCATTTGAAGCCAGGAAGAGCTTGAAAGATTTTGCATCGAAAACCTGCCAGTTTGTTTTCCTTTTTCCATGTTTATTAGATTCGCCTACTAAAATATTGTCGTCGATAAAATAAGGACAATAATCGATAGGATCTTGAAAAGTACTGAAGTCAAATCCAAATCGTTCTTCATCAAAAATAAATGGTGTAGGAGACTCTCTTACATCTTTCCAACCATAAATAAACTGCTTCGGAGTCAAAAATGTCAAAAAAGGGCTTGGTCCGTAGACGAAAAAAAGGAAAAAACGCTGCGGTTTCGAATGGGTTAAAAGGCTTAGGGTGAATTCGATGTATCTTTTTTTTACCGTTGATGCCTTTCCACGTTATCTTCAAGCCTGTATCGTAGCATTAATCCTATAGTAAGATCTTAAGTAGATACCGTATTTTCTCTAATAGTAGTGCACCCTGATCGTCGTCTAAATTACTCGAAATCTCAAAAACCGCTTATTAGAACCTATTGATGTGGGGTCGGAAAATGTAGCTGATGATGAGATCTAGTGGGGGATTTGAGTGTTGAGTTTCTGCGAAAGCTTAGAAGCCGTAAAATAGTCATCAACTCGGCTCGCCGGGGTGCACTACTATTAGAGAAAATACGGTATATATTGAATCTGGCCACCTGTGATAACCTATATCTATATTTTCCCTAATCGTAGTGCGCCGTTTACCTAAATTGCTTGAAATCTCGAGAATCGCTTATCAGAACTTATCGATGTGGGGTCAGAAAATGTAGCTGATGATGAGATCTTGTGGGGGATTTGCTTAAGAATGAATCCTCAACTTTCACCCCATCATGCTACCCCATCATGATTTCGCGGTTTTACTTTCGTTCAAGTACGCAGGCGGAAAAGTTTTGAAAATTGTTGTCAAATTGAGAAAACGATTTGAAAATGCCAATTTATGTGAAACTGATACTTTTCCAATAGCAAAAAAGTGATCGGAATCTTCCCCAGCTTTGCCAATATGCTTGGGACGCTTTGAAACTACTTACAGAGATACTTTGGAGCTAGCGTATTCTCTCTGTTAGTAGTGCACCCTGAGCGTCGCCTAAATTCCTCGAAATCTCGAGAAGCGCTTATCAGAACTTATCGATGTGGGGTCGGAAAATGTAGCTGATGATGAGATCTAGTGGGGGATTTGAGTGTTGAGAGTCTCTGCGAAAGCTTGGTAACCGTAAAATAGTCATCAACTGGGCTCGGCGGGGTGCACTACTATAAGAGGAAATACGCTACTTCTTTCTCTGGTCAATCAGAGTCACAATTTGATAGATTTCCCAGTCCCAGATTACCTAGAGCCCAGAGCTAGCGTATTCTCTCTAATAGTAGGTGCACCCTGAGCGTCGCCTAAATTCCTCGAAATCTCGAGAACCGCTTATCAGAACTTATCGATGTGGGGTCGGAAAATGTAGCTGACGATGAGATCTAGTGGGGGATTTGAGTGTTGAGCTTCTGTGAAAGCTTTGAAAGCCGTAAAATAGTCATCAACTCGGCTTGGCGAGGTACTATTACTATTAAAGAAAATACGGTATATTGATTTAATCTTTTTGAAAAGAACTAACTTTTCTTGTTTTTTTTGAGATAAAAAGAATTGTTAACAACAAAAATTGGTTATTAAACAAGAAATATATTGGTTTTCGTAATTGCCACCCTGCATTCATGGCTTCAAAATCAATTAAACTAAACTAATTCAAGCTTAAGTTTAGATCTCTAAATAGATCTTAAGTAGGTTTATTGATTTGAGCTATAAACGGATAATACGATTTCACTGACCTCAAAAGCATCAGCATTAGCTCTTCGCAATAATCTCTCAGTGTCCTTATCGAGTTTCATTTCTTCAATCTCTTCACTTGCGACTTTTTCGTCAGAAGGCTGATCTTTCAGAAATTCTTCAGAGCCTTAAATACAATATTAATTCGTTAACTTAAACTATTAACTTTTAAAATCCCAACCTTCTTCCTCTTTTTGTTTCTGATCTAAACGTTTCGCTTCTCGGGCTTTCTCTAGCGTTTTCTGAGCATTCATTGATTGAAGAAACTCTTCGAAATCAATTATATTATCCCCTGAATTTCTTTGAGTCAATCTTTTCTTTATTTCTTTTCAATTTAATCAATCAACAAAGACAATCTTTACCATTAATATCCGATTGCATATATTCTTTCATCTTTTTGTGAACATATTCAACGTCTTTCATGAGAAACTCGGAAAAACTGATGTGATTGTCCTCATTTCGATCAAGTCGAAGAAAAACTTCTTCTAAATGAAGAATTCTATGAATAGAAGTGTAATAATAGTTTATTTGTAGATATACGGTAAAAGCTCTAATAGAAAAGCCACCATAGAAGCGTCGTGTCTAAGTTTACTCTCAAATAAACGTCCATATCTCGGCACCAGTACGTTTCTTTCTTTGCATTTAGGTATAAAATTAAAGTAGAGAGGATGGGTGATTTTTTGAGATATAACACATATTTTTAGCATTAACCAGCACTTAGAAAAAATGATTGAAAAATGATGAAAAATCGGTTTTTTTTGTCGCGTCGCGTAGTAAGTTGACACTCAAAGAACGGCTCATATCTTGACACCAGTACGTTTGTTTCCACGCGCTTGGATATCAAATTAAAGTAGAGAGGATGGGTGATTTTTTGAGATATAACACTCATTTTTAGCATTAACCAGCACTTAGAAAAAATGATTGAAAAATGGTGAAAAATCGGCTTTGTTATGCCACTTTTCAATCATTTTTCTAAGTGCTGGTTAATGCTAAAAATAAGTGTTATATCTCAAAAAATCGTCCATCCTCTCTACTTTAATTTTATAACTAAACGCGAAGAAACAAACGTACTGGTGTCGAGATATGAGCGTTTATTTGAGAGAAAACTTAGACGCTTCTATAGCGAGGGTTTTCTATTAGAGCTTTTACGGTATATATGTTACGTCCGAATCTGAGGAGACGTCCATCTCCGATCCGGACGTCCGAATCTGAGGAGATTCATTCTCCTCTGAAACGGACGTCCGACTCAGAGATGGACGTCCGACTCTGAGTCGGACGTCCGTTTCGGAGGAGAATGAATCTCCTCAGATTCGGACGTAACATATACAAAGTTTCTAAATTGTACATATTGATTTATAAATTGTACATATTGATTTATAAATAAGAAACGACAATCAGATTTTAAGACGATCATTTCACAAAAGACTTCAAGATCCAAAGATCTATCTGTAAATAAAGATGAAATTTCTTAAAATCCTTAAAAAGTTATTAGTATTGTTCAAAGATCTATAATCTACATTCAATTTTACCTATCCATATCACAAACCCTACGTACCTGGTGTTTCAGTTGGTTGTTTAACAATGGGAATGAGTTGATCAGATGATAAATGTTCAGGAAGGGTTGTAGGAGCTCCTAAAATCATTTTTTTAAAAAATTTGGTTTAAACAACACATAAGCATAACCCCTAAGCCCTAAATTAAAGGAAAAAAAGAACCAATAATCTAGCCGGGGACCTTTGACCCTTTGACTAAGATTCAAGGCTCTTAGCCAGTCGACCATGACGAAAAATCGGCAGCTTGTAAGCAGACATACTTTGAAGATAGAGGATATCTTTTGATCTTTACTTTTAAACTAGATAGCATAGCTAGAATAGCTTTTAGATAAAAATACTTACCGTAAATACAATAATACTGCCCCACCCCCATAATGACGGTGCGGAGCGTTGTGTAGTCTAGCTTTGAACGAGTTTTTCTCGACATTGGTTTAAGCTACAATGCTCGCTTAGGTATCAAAAAATAGCCCTGAATTTCAGCTATTTTTTGATACCTAAGCGCGTATTGTAGCTTAAACCAGTGTCGAGAAAAACTCGTTCAAAGCTAGACTACGCAACGCTCCGCACCGTCATTATCTTTGGTATCAAAAAAGCGTCTTTGGTGTCAAAAAATAGCTGAAATTCAGGGCTATTTTTTGATACCAAAGACGCATTTTTTGAAAGTACGGGCGCTTTGAAAAAAACGAAATACTAAAAAACTACGCGACTTGCAACTACGCGACTTTGCGACTTGCGACTTTGCGACTACGCGACTGTACGAGGGCGGTGAGGTACTATTACAGTGTTTACGGTATCAAATAAACAAACCATAACAAAAATTTGAAAGTGTAAATCCGATAATGAGCCATCGTGTGCTCATCGTCGCTGGAGTGGCATTGAAAAAAGGGAAATGACGAGAAGTGGATCGGCAGAGATCCACGGAAAATTCGTTTTTACTCTAAAATGAATAAAAGGTTGAAAGGAATTTAGTTTTGAAATTTATTAAATAGTTTTGTAAGATAATAGAGGCTAATATTATGCGGCAAGAAAACAATGGAATGATCAAAACGACTAAAACGACCAAAACAAGCTACTTATCTTTGTGTTTAAACTCAGATTTTCATTAATAATTAAATTTCTTAAAAAATTCGATCCGTTTACTGTTTTTTGAGTCAAAAATCTCTTGAAAAATGGTTAAAAATAAGTTTTTTTTTGACTGCTGAAGAGAAATGCTTGAGTTTTTCATAATTTAAAGTGATAAGGATCTTTTGAACTTTCTTGGAAGTTTCAGAAAGCTTTTAAAAACAGTATAGCTGAGTGTAAATGTTAACTTTTCTGTTTTTCTCTGTTTTTTTTATAGATTTATTTCAAAAAGCGCATAAAAATCATCGTTTTTCTTAAATGAATCACTCGTAAATGTTTAGAAATCGACCCGTATTCATATGCAAATTTAGAAAAGAAAAGAAAAGAGGAGTGGGACAAATGCGAGCTTTTTTTGCGCTCCCGGACATTTGCGCACCTTTTTTTCCGCACCTTGCCCATTAGCGCACCTTTTTTCGCGTTTTAAAAAAGCTCTAAAAGCTAATATTAACCAATTTCTATTCCAAAAGTTGTCTTTCTAGGTAATTTGAGGGCGTCGAATTCAAATTTTGACATATCAGAGCTTGTGGAAGCAAACGGACGGTGTTATACAAAGAGAAAAATCGACAATTTGAAATTTCTGTAATTTGACCTAGCCGTTTTGTCTTTCAAATTGTTTCCACAAGCTCTGATATGTCAAAATTTCGATTCTACACCCTAAAATTACCTAGAAAAACAACTTTTGGAATAGAAATTGGTTAATATTAGCTTTTTAGAGCTTTTTTAAAACGCGAAAAAAGGTGCGATAATGGGCAAGGTGCGGAAAAAAAGGTGCGCAAATGTCCGGGTGCGCAAAAAAAAGCTCGCATTTGTCCCACTCCCAAGAAAAGAGAAAAATGAATATAAAGAGATCAAAAAAGGGATAATAATGCAAGGTTTTTTTTGAGGGAAAATTTTGAAAAATCGAGTGGATCATGGAAAAATTGAGAGTAAAATAGGTAAAAAAAAAAAAGTTGATGGATAGGCGAAAATTGGCTCCGATTTTCGGGGAATTTGTGTGCAAAAATTTTGAGAGTTTTTTAAATAGGAAATTTATTTAAAAATCACTTTATAATTTTCATTTTATTTAATTGAAATTTAACGTTCAGTTCTCTAAATTTTTCGTTAAAAGCTTTCCCTTCTGCTGACGGACTTTGTGCGTGGAAACGCACATGATCTAGCGCACTGAATTCTTCATTCTACTGTAGCGTCTTGATTGTTATAAGAAAAGAATTCAGTGCACCAGAGAAGATGTGTTTGTAATTTAAAAAAGTGTACACAAAGGACGAGTCAATCGATGTAGGATTTGAAGAGCTTCTGGCTCACTGAATTCTTCATTTTGTTGAAGAAATGCTTTGTGAAAAGATGAAGAATTGAGTGCGCTAGATGAGGTGAGTTTACCGCTTTACGCACAAAGGACAAGATAAAGATGTTAAAGAGGAACTGAGCTGGCGCGCTAGATACCGTATTTTCTCTAGTAGTAGTGCACCCGGAGCGTCGCCTAAATTCCTCGAAATCTCGAGAACCGCTTATCAGAACCTATCGATGTGGGGTTGGAAAATGTAGCTGACGATGAGATCTAGTGGGTGATTTGAGTGTTGAGCTTTTAGGAAAAATTGGAAGCCGTAAAATAGTCATCAACTCGGCTCGATGCTGTGCACCACTATTAGAGAAAATATGGTAGTTTGATTAATAAAATTTGATTGATTAATCAAATCTGATTCTCAAGAGTCTAAAGTTTTAAAAATTGTTGTCAAATTGAGAAAAGGATTTGAAAATGCCAATTTATGTCAAACTGATATTTTTCCAATAGCAAAAAAGTGATCGGAAAAACTTTTTTAAATCGTTTTAGAGAAAAATTTCAATTACAGATATTGACTTTTCGGGAAAGAGAATGCTCAAAAACTGTTTTTTTTTGTTCGTTCAGAAAGAATTGTTGAATCAGTGAATGTCAAGTTTTTCCAAATATTGTTCACGTGGATGGAGAATGATTGATTTTATGAATTGAGTGAAAAGAAAAGAGAGAAAGGCTGTAATATTCAAATATTTGCTATTCGGGAAGAGTCAGAGAGGACTGAAGCCTTGAAATACTTAATATTTGCATTGACCAAAGTGGGAGATTTACGAGGTTTGAATTGAACGGGGAATTGACAAAAAGCTGACATTACAGCCTTATTTTGTGATTGTTTTTGATTCGCAAAATAGAAATGAGTTTAAGACTTTGAAATCCAAGACTACAGCTATCGATTAGCTTTAAAAATGAACTTTTATCGGTCTTGAGATTCTGTTTAAAATTCAATAAATTTGATAAAAATCGAGTGATCAAATGGGGAAAATTAAATGAAATGAAATTTCGTTCTAATTCAACAACTAGATCCACTATTGACCATCCCAAAGATCGAATTGAAAGGATCAATAGAGATGGACTCTCTGAAACTCTTTCACTCTCTGAAATGGAATGTCAGAGAGTGAAGTTTGTCAGAGAGTGAGTTTCACTCTCTGACAAACTTCACTCTCTGAAAATTCTGTTTAAAATTCAATAAATTTGATAAGAATGGGGTGCTCAAATGGGGAAAATTAAATTTTGTCCAATTCAACAACTAGATCCACTATTGACCATCCCAAAGATGGTCAATAGTATCTAGTTGACTATTGACCATCCGAATTGAAAGGATCAATAGAGACGGACTCTCTGAAACTCTTTCACTCTCTGACAATTCCATTTCAGAGAGTGAAATCGGGTCCAATACACACTTGAATCAAATCAAGAATTGAGAGAGATGGGAAAAGGTGTGCATTTTTGATTTGCATTCGAATTTATCCTTTCAAAAACTCCCCCTCTTTCCTAAAGTACTTGAGTGATTGAAATATGATTTTTTTGAATCGAATTGAACAATTGAATTGAAATTGACATTGAATTCTTACTATTTGATTTAAAAATTCGAAAATTCTAGAAAAGATTTGTTCTTATCTGGGTCTGATTGTATCAGCAAAATGGATTCATTGTCAATTCCTATTTCAATTTCGATTTACAAGTCTTTGTTAGGAACAATTCAATTCCAGATTGAATTGAACGAATCAATTCCAGAACTGAATCAATTCTAGAACTGAACTAATTCTAGAACTGAATCAATTCTAGAACTGAATCAATTCTAGAACTGAATCAATTCTAGAACTGAATCAATTCTAGAACTGAACTAATTCTAGAACTGAATCAATTCCAGAACTGAATCAATTTCAGAACTGAATCAATTCAAGAACTGAATCAATTCAAGAACTGAATCAATTCCAGATTAGATCTAGAGATGGATTTACAATCGATAAAAGTAAGAGTCGTAGCAAAAGATAAACAAAAACGCTAGGTTACTGTAAGTGTAGTTATTTTTCTATTTAGCAAGGTATAAGGCTACTCTGGCAGCAATGAGATACGTGTCGATGTAGCTGGTAAAGCGTTCACCCAATAATCGAATAGGTTGCGGTAGGTCGCGGGTTCGAATCCCGGCGGCGACCATGTTTTGTATTCCCAAATCTATAAAAGGACTAGGGTAGAAACTTATCCCTTATTATTTCAACTGTTCAACTTTAGAAATCTACTAGAACCTTAAAAAGTTGTAACTCTATTACATTGAAAGGTTGCAAGTTAGTCATAAATCTATCAAAAAACTTCAAAATCTATGAATATAACAAATGAGCATCCAACTCAACAATATCGAAATGAAGAGACAAAGAGTTTGAAAAGGGAATTGTTGGTAGGGGAGGAGTGAGCTCGAATTATGCACGGATTACGAGCGGATTGTGGCAGGGGAATAGACGGAAAGAGGGCAATTGTCAGTTCTCTTTTTGCGTTACTCCAACGAGACCCCAATTTCGCGGGAAATAGCAGTACTAGTATACCGTCAGAGAGTCAGGCCAATCACTCAAAATCGAAAGGGAAATGAAACATTTTTCGGCAAATTGCTTATTGCTACTATTGTTTAATAGGGGTAGAATTTTCTAAACACTTATTATATAACAATAGTTGAAGAACAAAAATAACAGAAATTGAACTTTTAAATAAATTTATCCTAATCTAAATGATCAAACCAAATGGTTTTGAAGTAATCAAAAAGGTTTAAAACTTTAAAAAAAACTAAGACGAGTGGATTGAGGTTGTGGTCACAAATCTCTCCAACATCATTTTATACACCCACTTAATTATTCACGGATTTGAATTTCAAATGACCATCTTTTGGAAACTCACTTTTTGAAATAAAGGATCATTATGGGTTTTTTCGAGGTAACGTTCACCGACTTTCAATTCTAGAATCCAGCATTCTAGCATTCTAGCATTCTAGCAAGCTTTAAAACTCAGTTTTTCTTTCGATCAAATCGTTTCAAATTTCAATTTAAACAAGTTTAAAACTCTGAAAATCTAAGCTCAGCTTTCGGATTCGATTTTGCTTTTGTGAGGAGCATTGAAAGCTTTGTTATTCAACTATTTAGTTGAATAACAAAGCTTTCAATTTGTCCCTAATTGAGCCAATTTTCACCTAAGAATATACCTTTTAAAATAAAAAATTTGTTGAATCAATTTGATGATAAATTTGATGATAAATTTGAGTTAGGAAATGGAAAAAGAAAACGTTTAAAATGGAAGAGAAAAAGGCAGTTTTTTTTGGATTTGGCCGCGTAAAAGAGAGAAGGGAAAAAGGGAAAAGTTTTCACATTCTATCACAACAAATGGAAGAGATGGGAAAGGTGAAAAGGCTTCAATGGCATGCAAATTTGTGGAAGAATGGAAAGAAATGGGGATGGATGAATGAAGAAAAGAAGAGGGTAAAGAAAAGGGTAAAGAAAAGAGCAATCCTTTCTGTGTTCTTGGGTAATCTCTTTGGATAACCATCAAAGTGATCCAAAGAGATTTTAAAAGTGTGGAGGACTTGGATCATCCTTGGACATTACTTCGTTCAACTCTTTCACCATGTCCAGCACCTGAAATTGCTTGATTTGTTATTTGTTTGCTTGGAATTAATACAAGTACGGGAACTTTTTGGCGCACCCTGTATATCGTGTTGCTTTTTATCGGCCCTTTTCGTGTTATGTGTATGAACTGATGTGTTTTAATCTTAAATCTAGCGCACTTTATCTCAGGTCCTGAATAAAGTATCTATATATTAGGTTGATGCATAAGTCTTTTCGTTTTTTTCGTACTTCTGTTAAAAAGTAACAAATTCACGAATTAATCTATAGTTTGCTCTATAAAAAAAGTGTTTTTTTGTTCAATTTGCATCTTTTTAAATGAATTTCGGTTCACTTTCAAGCAAATTCGAGAGTGAAAAACGAAAAAAGAAAAAGGAGCACACCACTTGCTCAAAACAAAGCTTAAATAATGGGTTTTTAAGAACACAAGCTAAGACGGGATGTAGTTAAAACAGCGCCATGATAGAAAACGTTCAAAACAATTCAATTTCCAATCTCTTGAACTTTAGAAAGTTGTGACCAAATACTAAGCTTATTGTTGGCTTTAAGATTTCAAATTTCAAATCGGGGGTAGTCAAAACAGCGCCATAATAGAAAACGTTCAAAACAGCGCCGTCAAATTTCTAAAAATCGTAAAAATCTATAAAAAACTCTACGGAAAAATTGGCTGAATGAATTTCTCTGAAATTTTGGCGAAATATCAAACGTTTTTTTTCTCTATCTTTTATCTATTGACACGAAGATAGGTTTTCTTTAGCTAAGGTGTCTAAACCGCATCATCGAGTTAGCCCTTTTTGACTACCCGACTTCATACTCTCAAGAAAATCCAGGCATTAAATATTTTTAAACCCGTTTTAATGTTATTTTGCAGAAAAATAATTGCTTTTTCTAATGAAATCAACCGTAGTTTAATTGGTGCATTTGTTGGCTTGAAACGGCAGACGAAAAGGAACGAAAAGACTTATGCATCAACCTATTATCTATATATATATATAAACAGATGAAAATCTTTCTCCTGATAACTCTATAATTCTATTTTTTTATTTAAAAATATTTACAACTGTAAAAGTTTTCCAAAAAAAACCCCTTGTCCTCCCTTTTTCCCTTATCTAACCTTAAAAATTGAATAAATTACTTAAATAAGTTAGAAAAAAAAGTAAAATAAGGAATTATAACGAAAAATTAGAAGCTAAAGATTAAATAGGATTAAGAATTTTCAATAAAATTGATGACTAACCTCGTCTAATTCCGAGATGAACACATAATCGAGGTAGACAATGTGAGCTGAGATTACCAAAGGACCGATCAACACCAACAAGAATGAGATGAAAGCGATGAAGACTGAAAATGCAGTGAAATGAAATCTCTATATTGTTCAACTTACCATTAACCGGGTGAATGTTGAAGGGGATATGTTGCTCATTGAGTAGAGTGAATAGATAGCTCTCGTGATAGAAAACTGCATAGACACACATGACAAGTAATAGTAGGGCATAGAATATCAAAATTCCCTGAAATCGTTGAAATTTTCCTTTTAAAGTTTGTCCTGTGATTCCTGTGATTCCCGTGATTAGTAATAATCAATAATAATCCTGTGATTCCTGTGCTTAGTACTAATCAATACTAATCCTGTGATTTCTATGATTAGTACTAATCAATACTAATCCTGTGATTCCTGTGCTTAGTACTAATCAATAATAATCCTGTGATTCCTGTGCTTAGTACTAATCAATACTAATCCTGTGCTTAGTACTAATCAATAATAATCCTGCGACTCCTGTGACTCCTGTGATTAGTACTAATCAATAATAATCCTGTGATTCCTGTGCTTAGTACTAATCAATACTAATCCTGTGATTCCTGTGCTTAGTACTAATCAATACTAATCCTGTGATTCATGTGATTAGTACTAATCAATCAATTGCCAATCAATTAAAGTTCTTTTCTTCTCAAGTTTATTTTTGATTTCAAAAGTGATTCTAGATTTATTTCTTTACATATAATTTCTCAGAATTTCTCTAAAAGTAGAAATAATCGTTTACCTGAAGAAAAAGAAACGGGATTAAACACAATTTGCTTCCTTTGAATGCTCCATAAATAGTTGAATAGGCAACGCTGCCGAAAAAGAGTGCCGCAAACATTACTGAATATCCTTTTGGTTTTTTGGTTGATTGTTCATTGAATGATTTAGTCAGTTTGTTAGGTATTAGATTGAGAAAGGATTTTTAAGTAAATAGGCTTGAAATCAAATTTTTATTAAACTTTAGAGCATTAGAAAATGATTCTGATGTGATTATGTGTATTTTTGAGTGATCTTTGATGCTTTTGAGTGATCTTTTGATGCTTCTAAGTGATCTTTGATACTTTGAAGTAACCTTTTGATGCTTTGAAGTATTCTTTGATGCTTTTAAGTGATTTTTGATACTTTTAAGTACCCTTTTGATACTTTTAAGTAATCTTTGAACCTTTTGATCTCATGTTAAGCTTTGAATCTGTAGATAATTCGGTACATATGGGTTATCTCTCCAATAGCTCCCATTGAGGATGTGTTGTGGTCTGATGAAAGAATTTTTACTGTTAAAGTTGCTCACAACTCACAAAACCATTATCAACTGATGCCCCTAGATAAAAATAAATATTAAAACGATCATATTAAAACGAAAAATCCGGGCGAGGGCCCTTTTTTCTGAAAGGATTGATGATTTGAAGTGATTGTAAAAGGATTTCACTCGTTTTCATTGACAAAAAAAGTCAAAATCAATACCAAATTCTATCAAAATGAGGTTCTCAATAAAGTTAACAAATTTTTGAGTAAAGGGATAACCCGTTAATGTTATATGAATTGTTATAAATTCAAATTTTCGAGTAGCAGGGAGATAACCCATATGTACCGATCGTTCTTTAAAATAAAACAAATTGTTAAAGCAGTTAGTTAGCTGAATATTTGGTTAGTTTTTAGATCAACTATTAAATCAAAAGTTGATTTTGTCTTTAAAAATAGCTTACCTGATGTGGCGTGTCCGACAAATAACAGCAACGTTATCAAGAACCCGTAAACAGCCAGGTATATCAACGAAATGATCTTTGTTAACGTCTAAAATGAGATTTTATATATGTCGTAGCCGATGAAGGATTTCAGCCGAAGAAGTCTCAGACTTCTTCGGCTAGCCGATTGAGTCTCAGACTTCTTCGGCTAGCCGATTGAGTCTCAGACTTCTTCGGCTAGCCGATTGAGTCTCAGACTTCTTCGGCTGAAATCCTTCATCGGCTACGACATATAGATTTTAAATTGAAATTTGACTTCTTAGTTATTTACTAACTATATTATCATTAAAAAAATACTTACTGCCACATGACATTTGCCACAAAAATAGAAGAAAATCGGGCTACTCGGTAACGGCTTGAGAAGGGTCATTGGAAACTGAAATAGATATAGAATTTATAGATAAGCAAAGTATTGACTTGATAAAAATCTTGGAATATTATAAAAAATGTTCTTTGAATTGAAAATATTCATTCAAAGTTAAGCACTGTAAGCTTAAACTTAAATCTTTGAAACCTGAAACTTTAAAACCATTTAAACGATAGATCCAGCTTTATTTTAAGAAAAGATAATGAATAAACTTTTAAATGTTAGTGTTTTGATTTAATCTATCGTAAATACTCTAATAAAACGGCTTTCCCATAATGACAGGCGTACAGTCGGGTAGTCTAACTTTGTCTAACTGTCAAAGTCTAACTAGTCCCCGCATAATGACGGGGTATTGCCGCGTAGTCTAGCTTTACACGCTCCGTTCTCTGCGCTGCTTTACGCTACAGTGTGCGCTTGGGTGTCAAATGATAGCCCAAGAAATTTAGCATTTTTTGGTACCAAAAGTGTAGTTGGGAAAAATCTAGGGGCTAAGTAAGAATGATTTTCTAAGAAGAACGTTTCTAGTCGTTCTACAATCGCGAATATGTGGGCGCTAACTCGTCAATGTGTGGGCCATCGGGTGGTCTAATGGATGGAGGAGTGAATGTGGGTGTCAAAGTTCCACCACCACAACCACCTCCACCAAATGCGAATTAATGTTTTTGATCAATTTTTGGTTTGGTTTTTCCAATCAAAACCAAAAAGTTTTTGAGGAGATCCGGCTTTTTTGAGGAGATCAGTCCACTCCTCCCTTTAACACAATAACGGATTATTTGAGGACAAAATGCTACCGTAATACCTCGAATAGTGGCGCCCCGCATAATGACGGGGTATTGCCGCGTAGTCTAGCTTTACACGCTTCGTTCTCTGCGCTGCTTTATGCTACAATGTGCGCTTGGGTGTCAAATGATAGCCCAAGAAATCTAGGATTTTTTTTGGTAACAAAAGTGTAGTTAAGAAAAATCTAGGAGTTGAGTAAAAAAAGAAGAAAAAGTCAAGAAAAAGTAATAGTCTAACTTTACACGCTCCGTTCTCTGCGCTGCTTTATGCTACAATGTGCGCTTGGGTGTCAAATGAGAGTCCAAGAAATCTAGTATTTTTTGGTACCAAAAGTATAGTTGGGAAAAATCTAGGAGTTGAGAAAAAAAGAAGAAGAAGAAGAAATTTCTAAAAAGAAGTTAGACTACGCGATTGAACGAGGGATTGCCGTTTAATTTAAGTCTTTACGGTAACGGTATTTACGGTTTTTCATTTCAAGTTCTAACTCTAAATTTGACTTTTGAAATTTGAAATTAAATTGATAAGGATAATTATGTTTGAGTGAGGAAAAGAAAAGAAAAAAAACTCACTATAATTTAGCAATTTATCTAGGTTTAATGAGTGAGACATTTTTGGAAAATGGGGACAGATTTTCGTGTGATTTGAATGGGGGAAAGGGAGAAGTGGAAAGAGGTTCACATGCGTCTATTTGGGTCAAAATAGGAAATGTTTTTGAAAGATTTCAAAGAAAAGATGGATTTTTGAATAAAATAATACTTAAAAGGTGTTTCAATGCTAAACAAATAGCCTTTACAATTAAAAAAACTACTGCAACAGTTGCTAAACAGACCACTGCAAAAGTTGCCAAACAGACTACAAAACTACTGCAGCCTTTTGCTTTATAGCTGCTTTATTGCTGCTTTACTGCTGCTTTATTGCTGCTTTATTGCTGCTTTATTGCTGCTCTATTGCTGCTTTATTGCCTTTTCCTTTATTAACTTGTAAAGAGAAATTCTATAAGAATATTTTCGAAAGTATCTATACTTGAAAAAAGGAAAAGTTCTTTCAAAAATTCTTTCAAAGATTCTTTCATTCAAATCAATCACAATTCTTTTAAAAAGATACTAAAGCCTAAAACTAAAGCCTGAAAGTCAAGAGTCAAACAGAACTTTAATTCTAGTAAGCTTTTCCTTTTTTAGAACTTCTAAATATCAAAAGTTAAATCATTTTAACAAAAATCAAATCCAGAATATTGGGGATTGCCTTAGCAACACCGGGGGACGGGGAGAGTATTTGATTGGCCGCCGAGAGCAATTCGAATGGCTCACAAATGAGATCGAATCGGAGAAGGGGGCAAAAAAGGCACACAAAAAATGTGAGGCCAAATGGGTAAATGAAACGATGGAGGAAAGGGAAGGGGAAGTGATTGAGTTATGTACTAAAAAGTTCTTGTTCTAACATGTGTATTTAGACGAAGACTCTCGGTCTTTTGCACTTTATTCTACGAGCTTCGTTTAACCAATCGGCTATCGTTTAGCCAATCGGTTATCGTTTAACCAATCGGTTATCGTTTAACCAATCGGCTATCGTTTAACCAATTGGTTATCGTTTAGCCAATCGGTTATCGTTTAACCAATCGGTTATCCTCTAACCAATCGGTTATCGTTTAACCAATCGGTTAAAACCAATAACCAACGGCGATTTATCGGTTATCTATATTTGACTTTAACTTAACGGGTTACTCGCAGAAATTCAAAGAATGAGAGAGAAATGTGGAAGGATTTAGATATGATGGCTCGTTTAAAAACAAAGCAACAAACTTCAAAACTGACTAAAAAAAGAAAAACCCCATTTTTGCAATATATAACCATATTTTGAAAAGAAAAGATATTCAGGTAAGAGAAGAATTCAGTGGAATTTGTACTTTTCCGTAATGGTTTCACGCTTTTTTACTTTGAACTATAGTAAATTGTAGCGATTATTCAGCACAGATTATAGGGTTGGGATGAAAGAATCAAAGGTTTGATAGAAATGGGGAACTTGTTTGATTGAAGTTAAGGCAAAGCTGTAAATTTTCTGGACAGAATCAAGTGTTTCTTGTTAAATTGGTAGCTAAGTTTGTTCTTTGTTCAATCGAGAGCTTGACACAATGACTTTGTGGCTTTTAACTGAAGCTAAAATTCAGCTAGCTTATAATAGCTGTTAGCTCTGATATAATAGCTGTTAGCTCTGATATAAAAGCTGTTAGCCCTGAGATAATAGCTGTTAGCTTTGTTAGCGCTGTTAGCTCTGATAAAATTGCTTAAAATAAAAGCATGATTGTATGAACTTCTCACAACGGGAAGTATCTTTGGCTGGTGTTTTTTGTGTTTTTTCGTGGAAGAAAAGGGGCAATGGGCGTTGAGAAATGAGTGGGAAATTTCTGGGTAGAGAAGAGGTAATTCCCCTTGGGACTCAAATCCTCATCATTTTTGCTGTTGATGAAGGATTAGACGGTTCTTGGAGACCATAAATAATCTATCTTTAGAGCTCAAGGATTAGAGTTAATTAGGGTTTAAGAGGCAATTGTCTTTTAGCTAATTTTGATGTCAAGTTTATAGCATGACTGTACAAAGGGCGGCGAAAGTTTTGACCTTTTTAAAATCCTCTCTAAAATCTTCCTGATTGTTTTGATTTGATAAGTGTTTATAGGCAAAAGATAGCCAATCTTTTACAGAATTTAAATCTTATTACAGCTTTTAAATAACTTTTTTTGATTTTGAGTTAATGTTTTTCGAAAAAAGGGTCTGTATTGAACATATTTTTGAGGTTTTTTATTGCAAAAAAAATTTCTATAAATCTTACAAACTTATTTCTGTTTTTTTGAATACTTCTAATCATCGGAGTTCAAAGTTTAACAGACTGGTAGACGACGAGGTTCTTTTAGTTTAACAGATCAGACGGACGAGGTTCTTTTACTGGTAAAACCAATAACTTGTTTGATCACAGAGTTTTTGTGATAAGTCAAAATCGAAAGAAGTTATTTAAAAGCTGTAATATAATTTAAATTCTGTAAAAATTTGCTATCTTTTGGCTATAAACACAACTAGAATTCAATTAAAGAGAATTTAAAAAAGACAGAATTTTTTTCTAAATCCCGTATTGCAATCCCTGCTTTGGTAGAACAAAAAAAAGAAGGGATTAACAAGCGATCAAGTGTTCTTCTCTTCCGATAAGTTGTTTATTTTGATTCTTTAACCTTTTTTGAACTTATTTTCTCTTTTGAACTTATTTTCCTCTCTCAAACTCACATCTTTATTGTTGAGACGTGTCATTTCGGGATCCGATCTCGCTGTTGTTGATGTCGGTGCGAGGAAATCTTTCTCGTAATTGTACCGCGCTGGTAAATCCGGTCGCGAACTGTACGAGCCACCATTTGCCCTAAATCAAGAGAAATTTTGAAGAAAACTTTCTAAATGACGAGAAAGTTTTGTGAATTTTCACTGAAACTTGCTAAAAACTTAGAAAGGGTTAAATCATTATCGTATTCTCTCTAATAGTAGTGCGCACTAGACTTGTGTTTCGGTTGGCTCTTTTCGGTTCAGTTTCGGTTTCGGTTCAACCGAAGTCAACCGAAATCTTCGGTTCGGTTCGGTTTCGGTTGAACCGAAAAGATGATTTTTTTCGGTTCGGTTCGGTTAACCGAAACCGAAACCGAAACCGAACCGAAAAAGAACGTTTCCGGTTCAACCGAAACACAAGTCTAGTGCGCGCTACTATTTTTTCAACCCCCTCCTGGACCACAATACTATTAGAGAGAATACGGTAAGTCAATTTTCTATATTTTCTGATAAATCTCTGTTTGATATGAGCTTTTCTTTGCCTACAAACTTTTTTAGAACAAAATTTGTGTAACTTGCGTGGTCAAAGTGCCAATTATTTCCCAAGAGTTATAAAAATGTTCCTCTGACTCATAGTCCAAAATGAAAAGATCCGGTTGCTAGTGTCATGGCCGACTGGCTAAGTTCCCCGTATCTTAGCTTAAGGGAAGCTTAAGGGTTCAATCCCAACCCAACGTTGCTTCGTTTTTGAAGGTTTTTTTTGGCTAGATTGTTGGCTATTTTTGGCTAGTTTATTAGTCCTTTTTGTACCACATTATTAATATTTTTTTTAAACAAACTGAAAACTTCATTCCTTTACTAGTTAGGGTTTCACTCAAAAGCTCAGAACTCTTTTAGCCAGTCAGACAGTTTTTGGATTTATTAGGCTCATAAAACTTCGTTAAACACTTTTTCTTAATTTAATTCTACTCCCACCTGTCATTGTGATTATTTCTAGAATATCGGAGAATCCCTGGAGGTCTCAAATTTTCGTATTGAGTGGTGTTGTTCGAAGAGGTGGAACACCCAGGCTCGAGTCCGCATTCCTCTCTCGAATTGTGCATATCACATGCTGGAAATGGCAGAGGAATCAATAACTTTAAAAATATAATAAAAATTGATTAAAACAAGACAGAAAAACTTTCAAAAGTTAAAAGGTTGTGGACAAAGTGGGAAAGCCAAGGGAAGCCAAGGGAAGCCAAGGGAAGCTAAGGGAAGCTAAGGGAAGCTAAGGGAAGCTAAGGGAAGCTAAGGAAAGCCAAGGGAAGCCAAGGGAAGCCAAGGGAAGCTAAGGGAAGCTAAGGGAAGCTAAGGGAAGCTAAGGGAAGCTAAGGAAAGCTAAGGAAAGCCAAGGGAAGCCAAGGGAAGCCAAGGGAAGCTAAGGGAAGCTAAGGAAGCTAAGGGAAGCTAAGGGAAGCTAAGGGAAGCTAAGGGAAGCTAAGGGAAGCTAAGGGAAGCTAAGGAAAGTCAAGGAAAGCTAAAAAGCAATGCTTTTCGAATTTTCGTTAACCAGGAAGAAAAATATTACGGTCAAAAATCGGAAACTATTTCATAAGACAATGAATTTTGTATTTCAAGAACGTTAGATCAAAGATTCATAGGGAATTTCTCGAAAAACCAGCTCCAAAAAGAGCTTCCGGTGTGACGGAAGAACGGGAGAAACCCAAAAATGTAAGAGTGACGCGGTTTTCGCCTTAAAAACTCTCAAATTTTGAATAGAAAAGAAATTTTGAAATGTTTTGATCGTTTTTAAACCAATAACAAACAAAATCATAGCTGAAAATCGCTTCTAGCGGTGGATCGAAGAATGGAGTCAACGGGGAGAACAGGAGAAACTCAAAAATGTAAAATTGACGGGTTTTTCGCCTTAAAAACTCTCAAATTTTAAAATGTTTTCATAGATTTGAAATGAATAACAAAGAAAAACTAATGGAATTCGAATTTCAAGAGGAAACCGATGATTTGCTGTCCCGAGAAACAGAAATACGCCCAAAAATTGTAGGAGCTCATTAGAGCGAATTCAAAGGTAAAGCTCGATTTCTTTATTTGAATTGAAATTATTGAAAAAATTGATTTGATATTTGACAAAGAAAGCAATGAGATATGGCTTTTTGTTTTTAAAGAATTGTGTTCAATGAAAAAGAATCTATTTCTAAAGAATGCAATCTATTCCTTCAATTAGTATTAACTAAAAGTTTTGTTTTGTAAAATTGAACTACAATACTTGAAGCTAAGGAGTTTTAAGTTTTTCATTGTTCTTGATGTGTTAACGACAAATCGTAACTCTGGGATCTCGAGGGATGAATTCTGAACAAACAAACAAATAAACAAACAAACAAACAAACAAACAAACAAACGGAAAGCTAAAAGTGTTTTAGATTAAGACTTACAAATCAAATTAAGACAAAAAGTGAGAGTGAAATAAATATTAAATCTCATAGTACTTATTAGCTTTTCAGAAACTCTAATATTTTTGAAATTGAACAAAAGATCAGTGCAAGATTTTCCAAAAAGCAAAACAAGTTGCTTTACCAAAACATTTTTCCATCGAGAAACAAGAATCCGAGCAAAGATCAAGAAATACTTGGAAACATTTGTCCTTTCTTCATTCTCTTCCTCAAGCATTCCCGAAATTTATCGCTCTCTAGAGACCATAGACGTTGTAAAATCGAATGGGAACTGCTTGAATGAGAAAAAAAAGCAAGTCTGACAAGCTTTTCAATCTTTCTAACTTATGATTGGATTTCGTCCAAGTGCAAAGTTTAGAATGAGAAATTTGCAATGAAAAGCTCTGACAGCAAAAAGTCATAAGTCTGTTCACCAGAATTAAAATTTAAATCGAATGAGTTAGATACAGCTCGACCAAGAGACACAGCTCGACTAAGAAACACAGCTCGACCAAGACCTAAGAAGTACCTATGCGCCAGCTCTCCAGACTCAGAGATCCAGTGGAAGTGATTGAGAGAAAAAGACTCAGATGGGCTGGCCACGTAGCCAGAAGAACAGACGACGGATGGACGATACGGATCACAGAGTGGCTACCACGAGACCAGAAGAGGCCCATCGGAAGACCAGCAACTGGAGCACAAGAGTGGCAGCAACGGTCAGAGAAAGGATGGCTAGAGTGCAACCACCACCAGCACAAGCAAGTCGAAGACTTCGAACCAGGAACAACCAAGAAACACTGGATGACAATAGCAGTCTGTCGCCTTTTTTGGCCAACTTTGCGTCAACTTTGCGCTCTCATAAAAATCCAGAGATAAAAGATTTTCATAAGATTTGAACGTTATTTTGTAGAGAAATAATCGGCCTTTCTAATGAAACCAATTTTAGATCAATTAGTGAATTTATCATTTATAAAACTTTGGAGGAAAAAGTGAAAGAAAGCCTCTTAAACCTATGGGGCGAGATTTCCAAAGTAATCTGTTCAACCGTGTTTTCTTTATAGGGCTTTTTCTCGAATTTCCTTGAAAACAGACCAAAATCGGGTTGAAAATGATAGAAAAATGAATGCTAAACATCTTCTATTTAGAGCAAATTGTAGATGAATTGATGGCTTAATCATTTCAAAGCATATCTACCAAAAGTCTTCTACTAGACTCTATTTAGAATGCTAAACATCTTCTATTTAGAGAAAATTGTAGATGAATTGACGGCTTAATCATTTCAAAGCATATCTACCAAAAAGTCTTCTACTATATTAAAGAATATTTAAAGAACATTTAGAGCTATTTAGCCAATTGTAGATCTAAATCAACTTGCTTTCAAATGAATGCTAAACATCTTCTATTTAGAGCAATACATTTCATCTTTCAGTAGCCAACAAAAGAATAATTGATAAAAATCTGTATCGAAATCTATAAATGGAAAAGTCAAAGTATTATGAGTAAAGTTTTAAAGAATTTCTCAACCCTTTCTCCTTAATGTCACCGTTTCAAAAACTCAACGAAATCGTGCTGCTCACTTTTTGCAAAGCTGATGTTTCCAAGTAAAAAAAAATGAGAACAAATTTGGCTATAAAGAGGGCCATAAAAATAAGTTTTGGGAGCTTCCGGTTCTTGCATTCGATCAAAGAAAAGAATGGAAAGAAAAGGGGAAAAGGGGAAGGGGGGAAAGGGGGGAAAATTGGGATAATTGTCTCCTCACCGAAATGTCCCTCATAAGGCCTCACCCTTTTTTTCATTTGTGCTAAAAATGCTCAAAAAAAGAACGCTTTTCAGAGTTTTTTTGATTTAAAGTTAACTGAGAAATGGAGGGATTTTGATGAAGAAGAAAGAAAAGAAGAAGAATGATCTTCTTCTTTGATTACTTTGATTACAAATTACTTTGAACAGCCCTGACCTACAGCCCTGACCTACAGCCCTGATCTACAGCCCTGGTCTACAGCCCTGATCTACAGCTCTGACCTACAGCTCTGACATCAACCCGAACACTTGTGGTCGATTGTAAAGCAAAAATTGAGTGGACAGAGGTCTCCAAAAAGGCTGACCTATGGACTGAAGTATTGATGACGTTTTTCTCAACAAGTGTTGCTCAAAATTGCTCAAAATTGGTCAAAATTCGTAAAGAAATTCAGTGGACTGTTTTCTAAGATAAGATGTGATATTTTCTTCAATATCATAACTTCAAATCGTTTTTTTCCAGGTCGAGTGCACGCAATGCGTTCAATTGTGGCATGGCGCGCCCGGGGGGAAAGGTAAAAAGAATTAAGAGAATAGAAAACAAACTTTAGCTGAATATCTTGAATATCAATGAATTCGATTGGTAAAGAAAAGATTTGAGAAGAAAATGAATAGAAATTTATGAAGGAAAATGATAAAAACATACGCAATTCTACGAAAAAGCTCTTTAAAATAACGAACAGTTGCCGAAAATCGTTTGCAAAAATGTTTTCTTTTTAATTTTTCAGCTTTGCATGTAAATTTTGGACAAAGTTAGTTAATTTTAATAGAAAAACACAGAAAAATGCGGAAAAAAGACCAAAGTACCTGTTTTCTAAAGAGTTAAACATAAAAGAAACACTTAAAAACATGTATAACATTAATTATACTTAAAACAATGCAATTTAGCTTTTAATTTTAATGCAAAACCTTTCAAAGGTGATAAAATTACAGTTAACTTGAATCTATTTTAAAAAAACTTTTAAAAATCTCGTAGCTTTGTTGCTAAATCGGGGATTTCTTGTTGACGATGGGCTGCTGAAAAATCAAGGGATTTTCTTTAAAAGAAAGAAAAAAGTTGTGTAGGCCGTTCAATTGGAATTCGGTTTGGTGGGCAAATCAAAAAAAAAAAGCGTGAATAGAGGCGAAACCTTGATGTTGAAAAGAAAGAAAGAAAGAAAGAAAGACCGGAAACAAATTGGAAAGCTCAATTCCCGAAACTTTTGGCACGTAGGAATCTAAAAATGAAACAAAAAAATGGAAACTTTTGAAGATAAAGTGAAATGCTTTGAAATGATTAAGTCATCAATTGATCTACAATTTGCTCTAAATAGAAGATGTTTAGCATTCTAAATAGAAAATATAGTAGAAGACTTTTGGTAGATATACTTTGAAATGATTAAGTCATCAATTCATCTACATCAATATGTAAATACTAAAATTAGAATCTTGAAAGCAAGTTGATTTCGATCTACAATTGGCTGAATAGCTCTAAATGTTCTTTAACCCATTCGAAACTTCTGCAGCGTTAATTGAGCTATTTTCATCCAATTAATTGCTTTTTTTTGCTGTTTTTCAGCATTACATGTATATTCCAATTGTAGCAGATCTACAAATTACGTGGGCAAAAAAGATGTTTCATATTTACCCGGAATCAATGCAGTCTCTGGTTTTGCATTGAAATGTTCCATAATAGCTCTAATCTTATAAAGCCGATCTCCTGCAGAATTCAGTTCATTATCACAAAAACGCAGGTTGCGAAGAATAGATTCAAATTTTGCTCTTGACATGATGTGGGACATGTGGGAAAATCCTCCTAATCCAGGCCTGCTACTCCAGTAGTCACGAATCCTCGGTAATTTGACGATTCCCATTTGAAGCCAGGAAGAGCTTGAAAGATTTTG